GTTTACTACATTTAGTAAACTGGATGAAGTACATTTGGGCTTCATAAAGGTTCTGCTTACACAGAAGAGAGAACACAAGTGTATTTATATATATATATATATATATATATATATATATATATATATATTATATATATATTATATATATATATATATATATATATATATATATATATATATATATATATATATATATATAATATATATATATATATATATATAATATATATATATATATATATATATAATATATATATATATATATATATATATATATATATATATATATATATATATATATATATATATATATATATATATATATATATATATATATATATATATATATAATATATATATATATATATATATATATATATATATATATATATATATATATATATATATATATTAAGTATTGTATGCAATTTTCCGACAGCAGCTCGGCCCTGTTCCATTCAGTGTTACAAACAAACAAACAAACAAAAATAGTCACAAAAACAATCAGGGATGTAGTAGAGTCTAAAATTGTTTACGCCACCTTTTTAACCGGAAAATGTTTACACAAGTTTCATCTGAAAATGTCTATCATCAATATATATATATATGTATATATATTGATGATATCATCTCTAACTACATCCATGACACATCCTCTTTTGCCAAAATGTGTAGAACAAATTACGTCAAATCGCTCCAGATTTCAATCTGCATTGGCCTTTTGTCAGAGTTTCCCTGAGAGGTGTGTGTGTGTGTGTAGGTCTGTGGGATCATGTTTGGTATATTGTAATGTTCATGTACAGACATACTAATCATTTACTCACCTGAAAGCGCTGTTGGGAAGATTTTACAATCCCTACAACCCCCCCAGAAAAGGAATCACGTTTGTTTTACTGCACACCTCTACAGTTGTACAATTTGTTTCAGTTGGAGTCTGCTGTAATCCTCCATCAAAGGTTTTGTTTGCCAACAGATCGGTGATTCCTATGCAAATGTGACAAAGCAAAGAACGACCCTTAAAGGAAAAATCCACTGCTGATGTATTATTGTTTAACAGGAGTGAAGCTGGATTTATTCTTCTGACATGGTGTTGTAATGGAGGCTTTGTACCACCAAATAAAAAAAAGTAATGTACACATTAGAGCCACTGAGGTAAAAAAAGGTGTTAATGGTCAGATTGTTGATAGTGAAACGGCTTTGAGTGATTTAAAGAAAGGCTCAATATTCTCCTTTTCAATAACACTAGAAGAAAGCTATTGTGATCTATCGGAGTCATTTACAGTACACATCACGGTCCTCACAGCCAGCATTATTACTCTGTAAAAGTAAATATTAAAAGAAAACATAATTAAGAGTAAACTTTATTCCTATTATCTTTTTCTTCACATAAAAAAACATCAGAAAATCATCACAAAACCAACATGAAACATCTTAAAACATGAAAGAAACATTTGACTATACGGTTGTTTTTTAAGATGAAGCTTTACATCGTTGCTCTGTATTAGAAAATGAAAGAAAAATGTACACTTGACTAGTTTATACGTATATAACGAGTGCAGGACGTCCAGCGAGCGTTGTGGTGGTGCTATGACAATCAACGAGTGAAATTGTACAAATAAAGTATATATCTATTTCCACTCCAGCTGAACATCTCAGCGGAAAAGCATAAATCCAGCTTTTATTTTGAAATGATGTAACATTTATTTTCTTTGTGAACCTTGTCAGATATTCTACTTCCTCAATTCTTCTCTTCCTGCGTGACTGTTGTCTAGAAAAGAAATCCGTTTCTCTCTCCCTAAAGAAAACTGACACCAAAACTAGCTCACTGTTGATGTTTTAGATCGATGAAACATGTTACTGTACTCGCTTTAAATATCTGGACAGTTGTCATGGGCCATAGGAGGAAGAAAAATAAAACTACTACTACAAAAAAAAAGGCCTAGAAATGACACTTTACCAGAAGCTGTTTTTATTTATATTAAGTTGGATTTTTCCTTTAAGTCACTGAAACAAATGTATATTTATTCCTAAAAAGATAATCCATGTGTTTTTAGCCAAACGTCACTGTCTCATTGCTCGCAGTGACTTTGAGCTTTCTTGTCACTTTCCTTCCCGTCATCCTGCTGAATACTCGTCCTTCGCACTGGCCTTGTACATATACGCTATAGCTGAAACAAAATGCATGACTAAAACCGACAGTCAAAACCTCTAAACGAAGGCCTTCTATAGCTCCGCAGGTTTGATTTGTGTAACATAACGCTTACCACAAAGTCTAAAAGGGATGCATGTATGGGTTTCTCCTGTGCAACAGTTGACTCAGTTTCCTGTTAAGTGACTCTGTTACCTCCATCTCTGTATAATGCTACTTCACGAATGATAAGAGAATGTATTTTCTGTGGCAGTTTCCTAGTTTATTTTTGTTGCCAAATTCCCTGAAGTTTTGGAGTTTTTGGTCCTGTCACAGTAGGACCAGACTCTTCAGACTGTTGCTTGTTTCACTCTCTGTTCTTCCTACTGTAGCATCTCACCGCGTACGAGTGTAAACAGTCGATTCTCATACTGAAAGAACACCCCCCCCACTGACCCAAGTCGATCCAGCCCCCTCGCCTCCATCAGCACAACCTCTTAGCTTTTATTGAGAAAACTTAAGCAGGTTCTGTCCTGCAAAGAGATTGCAGATCGGCACGTGCACTGATCGTTTGCATAATGTGGACTTGAGTCCTTTGAAGCTTCTGTGTTACGCAGTCAACTGCATGACATGATAGACATTCTTATCCCATGTTATTTACAGTTTGATCTAGCTATACTGGAGTGTGTTTTAAGACATCAGATACGGTTGTTTTATGTTGTTGTTGCCTATCATGTCAGGTTTTGGACTGAGTAAAGTGTAACTCTGTGTGTTTTTTTTCTTTCTGTTCTTGTGCAATGTTTAGTCCACTAGTTGCTTCGCACTTTATTTGTGACTTCCTAGCTTTTGAGCAGGGACTGTTCTGCCCAATGTGAATGCTGACTGTTTCACTCCAGATGTAAACTCCGGAGATATTTTCATGTCAAAGAAAAGATGAATTCTCTATTTTCCTTTGTAAACTTGTCTTGTTTTTTTATCTGTGAATATTTTAGGGGATGCAAAACTAGAAAGGGCTTACTCCAGTGCAGCTTGTGCTCTCATGTTGGAAAGGAACGGCACTCCGAATGTATTTCTTTGTTGGTTATTTCCCCCACCACACACACACACATGAAAATCACATCACGTTTGAGGGAGTCACAGTTCTTGCAGATTGGCCTTAGTAGTTAGTTGCAACCTCAATAATACTCAAGTGACGCAGTCTGCATCGTGACTTTGACTACACATACTGCCACTACCCAGAGTACTGTACGGTGCTGCAACACAGTCTCACTTCATGAAATTAGCTGGAACTCTTAAAATGCAGGCTTCATTGTTTTGGACATGAGGAATCTCTCCAGTACAACATGCTTTATTTTTCAAATGTTTTCGCCTGATGAAAACATCTACCTGCAGGCAAAAAAGTCAAAATACATTTGAGAGATGTCGCCTGTTGTAGTGGAGAAGAGTTGTTCATGCTGGTCTGCACTTCTGGTGCACTTTCTCCAAGTTAGAAGTCAAAGAATAATGTTCCAACATAAGTGATAAAGGTATTAAAATGCCTTTTTTAATTTGTCACATGTTTTCTTACAAGGTTAGCTAACAGCAACACTAACACTGGTAAAGATTTGAGCTCAAGTTAGGCAGCTAATATACACCTTTGATTAAAGTGAAGGAAATGTAGTTATTAGGGTAAAAAAACACAAACTTTGTTCAGCAGAGTTTGAGGTTGTGTCTTTGCCAGATGCTTTCTTGGTGGGAAAACATTAACGTCTCACGTGTAGAACATGAATTTTGCATTTTGAGTCGCTAATTTCTCAAACATTTGCTCAGTCTTGAGGCTAAACACTGAAACATGGAAAGCAAACTTTTTCCAAACATAAGATAAACAAATCACCTCAAAATATATTTTCTACATCTTGTAAACTATTTTGTTTTAACTCTTCTGCTTGTTTTTAGTCTGAGACACTACTTACTTGCATTATTTGTTAGCACAGTCATTTATGTTGCTGTTAAAAAGCAATGAAAGCTAAATCTTGTCCCAAACTGAACAAGCAGACGAGTGAACAGGAGTCCTGTGTTTAAAGGTGTATCCTCTGTCCCAGGATGAAAGGAAAGAGTTGCTGCTCGGTCTTTACTGCTTGTTTCCAGAGTGTTTTAGGTCATAAAATAAAATCTCCCTTTAATAACACAGGGTTTTCTAAATGACTCTACAGCTCTCTCTGGAAAAAAACAGTTCAAGTTCCACTTAAAGCTTATAGTGAGAATAGCATTATATCACTGTTGTCCTGTAAGTCGTAGTAAAAGATCTGTAGCTATTTATTTGTTGCCATGTGATTCTCCTTATGTGACCATTTGTTTATAAGATGAAAGAAAAATGTCAATTAAATTGAATGTGGAAGACAGATTTTTCTCTGCACATAGTCTTGATTTGCAGAATATGCTGATTAAAAAACTGTCCGATGTCATTTTACAACATCCACAGCGTGTTGCTGTGGACATGCATGGTGTTTCAATCCTGTTGTATATTGTCTTTGCTATTGTTTCTATTTTGTAATCTGTATTTCCAAATGCAAAATTTAAAAGATTATTTTGGATATGTGCATGCTTGTGAAATGTTCAGAATGTTGATTTCCACTAAAAGCTGTTGAGTTTGAAAAAAGTCACGTCTGTTACTTAAAATCAAATGTTTGACCTTGTTTGCAGTGTAGCTATTGTACGATAGGGCTTCACCATTAATACGTTTCATTTATGGATTGATTTTCTAGACATTCAAAGATGTTTTACATGACAAAAATATGTTATTCTCAGTCTCTGGTTGTTTTTTGGGGGAAAGTTTAGAAGAAAATAGATTAGCTTCCTGCACTTGAGCTCTTTAATAAGAAACATTTCTTCATTGGTGATAAGCTATTATTTTTTATTATTGGTGAGACACTAGAATGAGTATTTTTTTAATATGCACAGTCGTCTATATGGACATAGTAAATGGTCACGTCACACCAGTGGACTTTAAATTCATCCAGATAGTGCACATCATTTACCAAAATCCACATTTATTCATTAGTAACAGTTAAATCTTTGCAATAGTTCTTCTTTCAAAAGTATAAATTGAAATGTAAATATACAGTAGACAATATAGCAAAATTATTTTTTAGCAACAATTACACAGTTTGTGTCATATCATTATTATTATTATTATTATTATTATTATTATTATTAATATTATTATTATATAAGTTTTTACTGCTGTGGAGTTTCCTCTCCTGTCACAGAGCCAATCAGTTTTTTTGTTAAACGTGGGGAGATTTCAGCATTTTCATAAATGTTTGCAATGTGATGATTTTATTTCTGATCCCAGTTGTGCGTTGGAAAGTGTTCCCTAGAATTCCCTTTGGCTTGTCAGACCGCCAGCCGGACCTGCTGTGCTCTGTAGGTGTCAAAGTCCTCGGGAAGAGTGTCTGGAGAGAGAGAAACAACAGGAAGTGACATTGCTAGTTTACAGTCTGAGCAGATGAAGGAAAAATAGAAAGTTAGAAAAAAATGTGTATTAATTTATATTTTCATTCTATTATATGTACAACTATGTAGCTTTTGAATAACTGAAGGTTTTGTCTCAAACAATTTGTTGAAACATCTTGAAAATACATATGAATGCTGAACTATATCTTCTTTTATTTTGTAATTAGAAGAGATTAATAACAGCGTTAAGTCTGAAAACAAATTGTGGCCACAGTCCTGTCTCTCAAACGGAAACCTGACTCACCGTTGCAGCGATAACGCAGGTTGGCCCAGATGATGTTCTCCTGTGAGAAGCAGAAGACTCCTAGACGACCTCCTCTCATTGTGGTGTCGATGATGACGCCTGTGTCCGCCACCATCTGAGGACCCTCGTAGAAACGAACTCTGCACACCAACAGAGAGAAGGTTGGTTAACAACACACAGTAAAGGATGGATTCATGATCTGTAGGTTTGTTCATAAGACAGTTTAGAAGCAGCAGGAGTTGCTCTACTCTTTTGGTGGAGCTTTTAGCAGTTTCTCCCACCCTCCAGTCTTTCTGCTTAGTTAGGCTAAACATGACAAGAACGCACAGAGAGGAAATTGACCTCTAACTCGATCAGTACCTGATGTAGCCGTCAGCGGGTCGGTGTTGGAGGAACCAGCGGTAAGAAGTTTTGTCCTTCCAGCCAACATTGCGAGCGTCTTTCCACAGGAGTTTGACCTGGTCACTCGTGTCGCCGGTGTGCCACAGGGCGTTCCTCAGGTTTTCACCTGGACCCGTGTTTGACTTGACAGCCTTTTTAAAACCACAAATGACAAGAAATCTGACAGGGTGTCCACTCTTTTTAAGAAATAATTGTCCCAGACGTTTTCCAGGAGTTTTCTTGACAATACAGGACAGCACTTGCTCACAAACAGTCATATAATTTACCTTTAACTTTATAACCCTAGTTTTATTCCTCCTTTTTTATGGAAGCTTCTTGATGGAGAATCACAGGTGCTTTGTCTATTTTAATTTTAAACAATTTTCAGCTAGGTTGAATAGTAGTTGAATAGTCCTGAATGGGAACCCAAAGGTTGTTCTTATTAATGGCTTAGGAGGACCAGCTAACAATCTAAAATGTGAATAGATCTCTTTTTAGACTACCTTGAGTTGGATGCCTGGTTCTGCCACAGCTCTGAACGGGTTTGCCTGCCAGTAGATCTGTTCCACCTGCTTCCACATCACCACGTAGAAACTGGAGCTGTCCTGGTACCCGAAGATGAATCCTGCGTAGTCGTCGTCCGTTACCGTGTTTACATGAAACGTCCCTTCAAAATCCACACCACTGAAAGCAGTGTAACCTGTTGGAGACAGTGTTGCACATGGGTGTCACTGGATGTCTTAAAGGACCAAGAAGTGTTGTTTTAAAGTACAATGTCGAATTCATGTTGAGTGGGAAAAGGTTAGAAAAAGGCCTTAGATGGAGAGCCAGAACACCCATCCTCCTCATCAAATAAACATTTCCTGTTTGTGTAGAGTACTTTAAAGCTGGAAAAAAGATGTACCCATAATGATCTTAACTTTGTCCTGCAATTATAACAAACCATGTGTACTTTGCTTCTAATTTATTACAATTATAGAATAATCTCTAGTAATTGTCAGATGCTATTGCATTTAGTTACAAATCCCAAAGTTTCAAGGACCCATTTCAAACAGATACACTCATGATACTGTAAAGCACTTTAAGGTTTTCATTTGAATAGCCTTTGAAGAAGACACTTATTTGCTTGCTGAGCAATGAATAAATATGCTACTGCCAGCAGTATTAGTTGAGCATAAAAACTGGACACGGGGAAACAGCTAGCAAACATCTTAATTTAGCTTTAGAGGTGCTAGCAGGCAGATTTTGTTACTTTTGGAAAGAATCAGGAACAAGAATTTCACTAGTGATGTTTCGACCAACTACAGGTCATCCTCAGGTAAATACCCACAAGAAGATGATCATAAACATCTTATTACATTCATGTGTGTCAAGATATTCTTTTTAGAAGGAAAATAAAACACATGAATATAAATTGACAACATTAAAGGGAGTTGTGATTCCAGTGTGCAAGTACTCTCTGGATTGCAATTTTATAGATTGTTTTGTATCCTGCTCTTTTCCCACTGAGGTGTGAACATGAGTGCTCTATAACTTAGTGGTATCAATCTTCTCATGTAACTCTCAGCAACAGAGCTAATGGAAAAGCACTGAAGGTCCAGTGTGTAACATTTAGAAGGATCTATTGGCAGAAATCAAATATAATATTCATAGGTATGTTTTCATCCGCATATAATCATCTGAAAATAAGAATTATTGTGTTTTCATTACATTAGAATGAGCTGTGGGTGACGAATCTGAGGGTTAGGCAAGGAGCTTGTGATCTGCAACTGCACTGCTAGATGCCACTAAATCCTACACACTGGTCCTTTAAATGTCGGACTATTCCTTTAAAATAGCAGATATGATGCTCTTACCAACAGCCAAGCCAGGATCACTGTTCATAGTCTGGACAATCTCTCTTCCCTGCACAAACAAAAGAATGGATTTAAGAGAAATGTAGTCAGATTGATTGATTGATTGATTGATTGATTGTGGTATTGTGGGACATAGACAAAACAGGAACAAACAAGTCACTTAACCTGGTTCAGCACCACCCAGTTGGGGTCAATCTGTGCGTCTCCCTCCGGATCTAAAACGACGGTCTGGTACTCCCTAAAGTCGGTGAGGGTGACCTCAGCGTTTTCCGGACAAACATCGATGGTGTCAATGATCGTGTCGTTGTCGAAATCCCTCTCACATACATTACCCACGCCATCACCTGAGAAGATTAAGAGTCGTAAAGAGTCGTAAGAACAAAACTTGTAAGAGAAATGAACATCATTTCTACTGAAGTCATTCAGGGGTACAACCCACCGTTAGAGTCCTCCTGCAGAGGGTTGGGTATCAGACGGCAGTTATCAGGACCAGGTGGTAACAAGTCTGGGATGCCGTCGTTATCATCGTCATCATCACACTCGTCTCCCTTGCCGTCCTTGTCGGTGTCCAGCTGGGAGCTGTTGATGACGGCTGGACAGTTGTCCCTAGAGTCTTGGTGACCGTCACCGTCACTGGACAAGAGAGACTTTTACTGGCACATGCACATTAAACTAACTCGTTGCACAGATGGTGAAGAATAAATATATGCGATGTGATCGATGAGGTCACACAGTACCTGTCCTTGTTGGTGTCGCAGGGGTCTCCAATTAAGTCGTTGTCCACATCGGTCTGAGAAAGATACATTTTTTGAATATGAAACTTGGAGTGCATGACTTCTACATCACTGCAGCAAGGTGATGAGCTGAACCATTATAGGTTGACAAAAAGCCTTTCTACTGTTAAGTTGATTTTTAAGCTTTTATGTGCACTTTAGCCCCTGAAGGTATTAATTATTACTTATTTATCCGAGGGACGTCCTTTTTTACAATCCAAGTATCTGTGTTTTGGTGGGGCTCAGTTGGAAAATTAAAATGCCACTGTCATTCAAATTTGATCAAACCACAACCACACAGTCCAGATGAAGCAGATTAGTTGAGTGTTTGACTGTTACTCTACAATTTTTCTCAAACCTTGACTTTAATCGTATATTTAGTCATGAATCACTGGTCGGAGGAGTTAAACCTGTACAGTATGAGCTCACCAGACTTAAAAATTACTCTTGAATTCAATTTTTAAACCATGTTGAAGACTCGTTTGTAACCAGAAGAAAAGGAGCGTTCTGACCTGGTCAGGGTTTGGAACATAAGGACAGCTATCGCAGGCGTCTCCCACTTTGTCTCCATCACGATCTTTCTGGTCAGCGTTGGGAACCCTTTGGCAGTTGTCCAGGTGATTGGGGATTCCTGATAATAAAGTGGGCCTCAGTGAATGTTGAAGTAACTTATCGTACCCTTCCTCTTAAAGCACCAACTCTGAACTACACAATCATAGCTCACATTACAGGCCTCTCATATGTTAGTGTTTACAAATATTGGTCCAAATTCCTCCAAATGTCAGCTACTGTTCATAACTCAAAACATCAATACTCACTGTATTATCACTGTAATAATAAATCTGTATTGAAGTGTGTAAAAAAACATCTAGAATACTTACCGTCCCCATCAATGTCTTCATCACACTCATCACCGTATTTGTCCACATCCGTGTCTTTTTGGTCGTTGTTTTTGACGGCACGGCAGTTGTCGCAGGCGTCGCCAAAGTCGTCCTCATCAATGTTCTTCTGGTCCACATTGGGCACCAACACACAGTTATCCTGTAGAGAAGCAGTTTTAGTCTCTGCAAGGACAGTGAGATGAGAACCCCAGATGTACACAGGCTTTTCATAATTTTTTATATCACATCACTGTCTTTTAGGAATGAACCTGTGTGTTAGGGATCCCATCCCCATCTGCATCGTCATCACAGGCATCTCCAATCCCATCACCATCGGCATCTTCTTGACCAGAGTTGGGCACAGTGAGACAGTTATCCTGAAAAGAAAAAACACTCCCAGTTAAAGCAGACTACAAGAGGGAAAACTAAAATCAGATCCTTTCAGTGAACATTTTGGTGTCTCATGATGGTCAGATTGTTCTTTCTAATGCAATTCAAACCCCAAACCACAACCTTACAAAACAATGATGTCAGTATCTTTCTGACAAAGTGTTAGCAAAATAACTTCATAAGGTACAATTTCTCTTCTAAGGTACAAGATACAGCATATATAATATATATATATATATATGTAACTCACCTTGTTACAGTTACTCTCAGGACAGTCCAGTTTCGCATCAGGGAAACCATCAATGTCAATGTCAGGCCCGCAGAGATAGCCGTTGCCAGCCCATCCGACTCCACACTATGAGGATAGATAATGATTTATGTACTGTACATACTATTTTATTTGGCCCTGTTGTGTACTGCATATAGTATCAGCTGATGTTAAGTGCTTAAACAGACCTTTGATTTCACAATATCTGGCACACATACTCAGAGTTGTATACTTCAAAGACTTCAAAAAAAAATATTTAAACGGCTTTGTCATATGTTTAGCAGCTTTGTACAGACTCTGTAAATTCTATATTTAAAGCTGTGCCTTGCTGTTTAATTTAGAATAACTTAAAATATGTGTGTTTAAAGCTGTTTATATTGAGATTTTTATGTGAAAGTAGCCTATGCATATCAGAAATTGGGGCTGTAACATGTAAATACTACACTATCTCAACCTATCATTAGCACAAATGAATTTACATTGTCTTAAGTTCCTGTTGATAGAATAACTCAGCACAGAGAAGCTACTGAAGCCCCCTTTTTTTTGAGAATATGAATCCAGAACAAGAACTAGACAGCTTAATTTATTCACCTGACACTCGATTATACCCTCTCGGTGGACGATGCACTCAGCGCTGGCGTGGCAGGGGTTGGGTTGGCCATTCCCACAGGCTCTCTCCGGCTTACAGCCACGTCGCTGATCTCCAACGTAGCCCGCCAAACATGGACCACACCTGAATGAGCCCTGATGACACAGAGGAAACAGAACCATCATATCACTGATAAGGGCGAGCATCAGTCTATGTTCCTACATTATTGTTGTGATAGAACTTCCAAAGACTGTACTGAACAGCATGAGGGAGAAACTGTGCACCATCTAGGATTTTACTTGGGTTATACAGACTGACATTGCAGGACTATCCGTTAAAGCCTGTGTTTTTGTTTGCTGCATTTTTTTAGATTGCAGCAGCAACAATTCAGCAGACATTCATCAAATAATCTGGTGTGGCTCAAAAGTGATAACACACAGCGTGACATGCAATTAACGTGCAAGATCGCTGTTATTGCACAGTGCAAAGGGACTTTCAAGGGCACAGAAGTGATAATGCTAAAATTTTGTTTAACATTAGCAAAAGTACAGAAAAGTCATAAAAATGGGAAACTAAAAACAGAGTTAACAACAACAGCTATCAACTTTTAATTTATAAGAGAATTATTGGGTTATTTCTTCTTTTAAAGGTTACATAGTGTCGCTTTAATTAATGTCTCTGTTACTTTACACCTGCCTTTGCCTTTCACACCAGTGAGTTTGTATATTCAATCAAATTTTTTTCCATTGAGGAATTTAACAAGCACCAAATGCCTGAAATGGTTGCGTCCCTCAGATAGCACTTCAGTAACATGATGTGATCCTGCAAAACTTTAAAACTCCAAATGCACTGAAGTCAGTTTTTATGGGCTACAGGGTACTCTATAGCAGCAGATTTCCTGCAAAGGTGACAGTCAGTAATTTATCTTAAATGTTGTTTATACTCACAGGGGTGTTCATGCAGACTGAGTTCACCACACAGCCCCCATTGTTGAGTCCTTCACACTCATTGATGTCTTTGCACACCTTCATAGGACAAACAGACAGAAAAAAATTAAGTGTAGCAGAGTGAAGACAGTCCTGTACTGAGTATTAAGGCAGCGCAGACCAGTGCACACTGTTTGACATGTATGTAGAGAAGAGAGTGAGGAGGTGTTGCTGAGGAATGTAGAAAGGAGGTGGTGAGAAGCAAAGACAAACATGATGAGGTGCTGAGAGGAGAGTTTCTTCTCCCCCAGGTTTATCAAAAACAATCTCAAATAGAGAAGATATTTGTGTTGAATTCTTTCCTTAATTCAGACTTGATACGTTTTAAAGGTTTTAAGGTTTAAGGTTACTTTATTTGGACCCATAGATAGATTTGGTTTGCTGTACAAGACAAGGCATTCCTCTTGACAAAAATATAAAAAAAAATGAACAACTCAGACAAGAGACAAACATAATACAAACAGGATAAAGATAAAATATAAAAGGCTCTCAAAATCAGAGAGAGACCAATAAAAACCACTAGAATAAATAAGGTAAAAACAAGAAAAACTCTGTGATGTGTTACTACAACTTCTTAATCTAAATGAAAGCTGCAGGAACAGCTATTTTTATACCGCTTTGATCTACATCTTGGGACTATAAACCTCTGTTCAGAAGGACGAAGCTGAAATTCACGGTGCAAAGGGTGGGAGTCGTCATTAAATTATTGAGCCGGTTGTCCGCTGTAACTGTCTGGTGTACAGGGATGCTGGGTTAAACTGTGACTCACCAATCAGCCTATTAGACCATATAACAATTTGACTGACAGAGTTTCTGTTCTTTAAAGAAAGGTTTCCAAACACAGAAGAAAAGGATAAAATTGATTCAATAAACACACGATAATACAAGGTCATCATGGTTTAGTCAGAGTGGCAATAGAACAGTTTCCTTAGACAAAACTAATGCTGAGCAGTTACTGTAGGAGACTATAAGAACTAATTCCACTACTAAACACAAGTCTTTTGATTTTGTAATATATAATAATTATTGTAATTTATATGTGTTATACAGTACTAGTTCATTATAGACAGAGACACTGACCTGTTTGTTGGCCGTGGCGTATGCGAGGCCAACACCCTGGACCTGGGGGCCGGTGTATCCAGCAGGACAGGAACCACAGCGGAAACCTGGGGAGGTGTTTATGCAGCGCACACCCATGTGACATGGCATCACAGTACACTGTTGGCAACAGAGATACAGAAACACATTAAGACGTTCATCAAGAATTCAATTTTTTTCTTTTAGGTCAACATATGGGAGTTCACTAATGACAATCTAATTAGTTTTGATATTAAAGACCCTGTATACCCAACTTTTTTAAGTTTAAATTAAAATCATTTTACTATTATCACCAGTGACATATATGTCTGTGTACCTCATCCACATCGGTGCAGTGGGTACCGTTGCCCTCCATGCCGTCAGGACAGTGTCCACACTTTATACCCTGAGGTGTGACTGTACATTTCACACCTGGGTGGCAGGGGTTGGGTACACAGGACGGACGAGGATGCATTCCTCCCATCCCTGAGGAGAGAGAGAAGATCAACCATTATTGTTCCATTGTTTTTCAGTATTATTGTTTATATCTTAAAAGTCTGAAACTATAGGGGACATAGAGTCATAAACATAAATCATTGAAAGAGCTATACAAAACAGTGTTGAAAGGTATGAAAATTAGCTGTCATCATCAGCGTAAAACCTTAACTTCAAATTCAAAGTATATGAAAATAGAACAATGTGTGTTTTGGGTACTCAATCGCTGGTCAGCATTTCTGTTTAACTCACCACACGCTTCACACTCCATCACTGTGTTCTTCAGAAATACTATCTCTTTTATCTGGAAAATACAATCAAATTATGAAGATTTTTTATTAAACTGAATCTAATCAACCGTTTTAATACATGGACGCTTGTTCATGACTAAAACGGCTGCTGACGTTAAACAAATTTTGGAAACACAATTTTTGAGGACTAGGGAGCTTTTAGAAATAGAGCCCTCTGGTGTAAAGTGTAAATATAAAGGAGTTTATTTAAAATCCTCAACATCTAAATGCAGTGGAAAATAATTGATTTTAATTTTATCTGCAAACATAGACACAAAAGATACCATAAGCAGCCCAGTCTGTGTGCACACATACGTATCTTCAGATACACAAAATGTAGATAACCAGCTTTATGAACAGATACGTATTAATGTCATGGCTCACACTCTTTTTTTTACCTGTTGTTTCAGAAGCTCTTTAATCTCAGCCAGTGCAAGGTTCGTCATTTTAATCTGACTAATAATTTCTCCATCTGAAAATAAAAAATAAGAAAAACAGTACAATAATGAATTAAAATAAAGAGATATACAACACAACCACAGGTATAATAACCAGCACGTTAATTATTTATTTTATTGTATGAAACTTTAATGTTGCATCCGGTAAAGGTATTTTTTAGTATATATACTGCTGGGTATCTTGTGAATTTGGGCCCAGAAATATATTTTTTCTTTATACTTTGTGTTATTTATCGGATCCTGTAACTATAGGTATCAAATGAATATAGTGCAATAAAAAGTCCAATATTTCCCCGTGAACTGTAGTACAGTAGAATTATCAATAGTAGAAAATAGAAATAGTAAAGTACAAGTACACACACACACACACAATACAAACTGGTATAAAGTTTTGTCTTTTCATTGAGCTCATCAGTCTTCCTGTTGGCTTAACATGTGGGACCAGAAGCTCACTGGGAGGCAAATATGGACATCATGCATTGAGGGGGGAGGAGGGGAGAACACACATGTCCCCCTGTACAACATGATCCACTGCCTGTCAAATACCAAAGTCTAATACCTGACGTTCCTCAGCCACCGCAGGCCATTTGTATCCACAGCCCACGCATTCACTGGAGCACAGAGAGGTTTTGATTGCAGCTGCAGAATGATTTTCCAGATATGGAATGATACAAGATTTTATGGAAGAAAAGTTTGTGTGCTTACAGGAACTAAAGTCTGCCGGCGACTTTGAGTTTCTACAGTGTAATATAGTAAGTGCTGATCTGGACTTTTGATGAAGATTGTCAGTCAGTCAGTTTACTGACTTTATGGCTCTTCTCTAACTGTGCTAACTGTCACTTTATATTTTAATATTTTAACACAAATAAACACTTCAGTGGTTTTACAAAAGTATGAAATCACATTTCTTATTTACTATAGTCCGCTGTATTTACTGTCCACCATTTTATTTCAGTGTTCAAAGAGTGTGTATTTACATACCTTACAGCGACCTCAATACAATGTGTCACATTTAATAGATGTGTAAATTATAGTTGTTTGACACTAGAGCTGTGAGAGAAGACACAGTAAACTTTAGGGAGTAGTGAGGTAACCTGACTTTTAAAGTAGCAACAAGGAACTTTCATTTTATGTTGATTCTGGCTGCGCCTGCGGACAACAGTGGCAGCGTTTCTATCGTTGCGTTTCATTGATTTCAAGGGGAATCCGACCTGGTGGCAGGAATCAAGAATACTGTTTCATAACCAGCTAGTAACTCCTAGTTGTAGGTTTAAGTAGCTCCCTTTAATCATGTTAATTTGTTTAGGAGAAAATAAATCCCTGAGAATATCTCTGTCCTTTAATTAAAAAACGGCAGATTAACTAGGAGACAATAAGATAACTTGAAGAAACTGCAAACAGCACATTGTGAATTGATGTGACTTGTTCGAAGCCTGCTTGGCTTAAAATTAAGTGGTGTTGACTTAAATAAAGTTCACTTTAAACCTGCAATAACAGATTTTGTGGCAGCAGAAACAGGTTATGAACACTGATGTATCAGAGAGGGAAACATCTGTCTCTTTAGCCGCTAACTGCTCCCCTGTGTTCACCAGCCTGCCTCTAACTATCTGTCTGTTGTTTGGTGCTGATCAGGTAAAAACAGCACTATGAGAGTGACAGTGAACTGATTAGACTGGACACTTTGGGATACTCAGGTGTTGTCAGATCTTGAAGCAACACTCCACTTGTACTAATTGACCCATCACCCCGCCCCCCCACCAGCCACCCCTTCCCCCAGAGGAGTCGTACGAGGGCAGAAATCTCCTGAGCATGAAGCGCAGGAAATGTGGTCTTCGCATTAGCAGCAACTCTGTTTACTGAATGGATTCCACAGCAGAAACAAGAGATACTGGAAATAAATCACTCTCACTGCTAATAGGAAGGTAAATGAGACGTTTTCCTACAACAGAAAGCTCACAGTGATTGTTTTTCCTCATTGTGTGCAAGTAAAGTTGGGTCCTCTGAAAAGCTTTGCACAGAAAACCTAAACACCTCTGAGCTCTTGAACTCCTCAACAAGTCAAATACATTATGAGATACTGATGAAGAATGAGCTAAATTAAACACATTTTCTTAACAAAACTATAATCAAACCTCAAAAATATACATCTTAGACATTTTGCTCTTGCTGCTTCCCCATTTTCACAAATTCTGCACTATAATACTGGATTGAATAGTCAATTTACATACATTCACAATGTTAAATAATTCATATAAATAGTTCATACAAAAGCCTGAATGTAGTTTGGTTGTTCTTAGTTGTTTTTAGTCATTTATAATGTTTTGTTTTTTAGTTATATTGTTATTTGATATTGCCTTATATTTACTTTTCATTGCCATTTACTGGTATTAATGTGCCTTTTTATTCCTATTTCAGTGTGTTTTATTTGCTATTGATGTGCCGTACACTTTAATTTGAACAGCACTTTGGTCAACTCTAACTGTTTTAGATCAGTCAAGTTTCATCATCTTGTTTCCCAAAGCAAAAATAATCCAAAATACTCACCTCTCTGTCCTGCTGCAGCGTGTCTCCCTATGCAGAGCGCACAGGTCATCACCAGAAACCACAACATGGTTGAATCTGTGCTGCAGATGCTGTTCAGGTACAGCAGCTTCGTCTGTTGACTCTCTTCTGCCTCAGCTCTCTCTTCTCTTCTGCTCCTCCTGCAAACCTGGTTCCAGCAGTCCTTTCTCCCCTTGCTTTTGGTCTTTATACCCCCCCTCCACCTCCCCCTCCCTGGCTTACATTCCCGTCCTTTCCCCTAAAACTCCTCTGCAAACCACAATTTGGGGAAGTCCAGCAAATGGAAATAGGAGTTTTATTGCACAACACTTAACACAATCTCATATAATACATCAGCTTCTGTGTTTTCATTTTGGGCCTTAATTTAAACCACTTTTGGCTTTTTTGGTTCACTAAGTTAGTTGATACTTTTAAACTAAAAAGCTATTATCTGGTCTTTATTTGACTAAAATGTCTGAATGTACTTATTTTATTGTTTGTCTAATGAAAAAGTAAACAAATAGTTTTTTTTTTTTTACTTCTTCATAGTAATCTTCATCTTCATAACCTAACTGCTGTCTCCATACAGACTCAAATTTTTAATTATTAGTAAATGAACATTTTAAGAAGTAAAGCCTGATATTTATAAACAACGTTTGTTGTTAATTATTTGCTTTAATATGTTACCAATATATGATTTATCCATTGACCTTATTAAACACATTGTGAACTTTGTTTTACATGCTGTATTACACAGTCACCATTATTCTTGTGAGCCTATCAGCAGCCACATTTGCTGATTATCAGTGAAACTGGTGTTAAAAAAGGTTTACAAAGATACAAAGTTTCCTTTTTATTAGCTTCTGACATCTAAATGAAGTAAAACAACACAACTCACTTTGTACATAAAATCAGAAAATAGGCTTCAGATCCAGTGCGGATTTTACGATAAACCCGTTTACGAGTTTATGATTACAACTGTGTGTGTGTGTGTGTGTGTGTGTGTGTGTGTGTGTGTGTCAGTAATGGGATCGACAGATGTCGGTTGCATTCCTGGCAGTGAAGGTTTTTGGTCCAAATCACCTTGATAAGCTCTCACCACCTCCACTCTCTCCGTCCCCGCCTGCACGCTGCCTTGCCCAAAGGGACAGGGAAGTCTCACTCCGGGCCTTCACTGGAAAAACAAACATAGCAGCTTGTTTCTGTCATCATGCTGGAGAGCTGTTTTATTTTGACATGGAGGAACATTTCAACATCTCTGAGATCTTTCTTCTCCTCTTTACACTGCAGGGAGAAAGTCATTAAATTAATTTAGTCCTAGCTTGTTAAATAATATCTGGTTTTTCAAATCCTGAACAGGTTTCCCATTCAGTCACTTTAAGGTTGTTAAAATGATCTTATTCCACACTGTCTGATTGTATCATATGTTTTTATCAGCTTATTCCAGCTTTGGTGTCTAAGCTTTAAGATGTTTTTATTCAAATCAAAGACTGAGATGTTTTTTTAGCTACACGGTTTAAACAAAAGGAAATATTTTTAATGTTTTTTGCACAATTCAGCCCGACATATTTGGTATATTACATTAGAATTTAAAATAAAGTAAGTTTGTATTTGAACCCACCTGGCAGGCTTTGTGGCATTGTGGGTAATGTTGGCAGCTGATGTTGACAAAGAAGAAGAACATATGGAATAAAAAAGACAATATGTCTGGTTCTGATTCTTTTTAAAAACTTTTTTAACTTTCCACCATGAGTCCAAAAATGCCAGATCAGTGGATTATTGAGTTCAATTGAGCAACAGTTTAAAATGATCAGCACCACATGGTTGCTCTGTTACTGCCACCTAAAGTTCAATGTGAGATCCACACTTAGTTTTAAGAACAAGTCTCTCAGACCCGTCTATCATCTTCTGACTCAAGATGAAAATGTGTCAATTAAAATGCTCAAATTGTGACATTTTTATATACTTACTGTATTATTTTAATTAGTTAGAGGTAATCTTTCTGTTGTGATTTATAATCTTGAGATATTCCAGTCCTAACTGTCTTTCACCTGCACCTTCATTCATCTCATAACTCATAACCAAAGTCATCAATAGAAGATGAAGTCCACCTTCGGACTGCGTCCTGTGTCCTGCTGATGCTTCAGAGATGATTTCTGTATGTGAGCTCCAGCAGAGCAACAAACGTAAGCAACAGATTTCTTACCTCCCCAATCGTCTCTGCTGCTGTGAGGAATGTTAAGGTTAAAGGTCGAGTGTAACAACCTCCTGCAAAGTTCATTAGTGATGCTTTATTGCCTGCACTACAAGAGTTTGTCAGTGCGGCAGGGACGTGACCTCGAGTTGACCTCAGACCTTTCCTGTCACCCCCCAACAGCCTCAGAGTTACATAACAATAGACAAACGTACTCATGACTGTCTTTCCTGGAACGGTGTCGGTCTTAAATGCATCTTAAAATGTGGAATTATAGCATTTTGTTTTACTACAGTTAATAATAAGTACAGTGCATAAACACTTCTAAGTCTCAGATCTCAGCTCCAAAATAATTTAAAAGAGCTCCAGAGTGAGACTTTTATAACCACGTCACCAGCAGATGACTGCATTACGGCACAAAGAAAAAGGCTTCACACTTTCCAACAGAGAGATATATAAAAGATGTGAAAAGATATTATGGAAGCAGATAATGACAAGTTAATAAAAAGACACAAGGTCTGCTCCAGTTCCTGCACAACATGAAAAAGTTAATATAGATTTGAAGATTGATTCTGAATTTTGGTGAATTTGAAAGCTTGTTTAAACTTGTACATTAGCTGAAGTGAAGTACTTACTTGAGTTTTTAATGTTACTTTTACTCCACTACATTTATTATTTCACACAAAACAAATAATAAACTTCTAAAATATTAAATGGACTTATATAGCACCTTTCTAGTCTTCCGGCCACTCAAAGCACTTTAAACCACATGCCACATTCACCCATTCACACAGTTTCACACACAAATTAAACATAGATTGACCATTAAAAACCTAAAAAACAACCAGTTTCACTTTGATCAAACATCTGAAATTGATTGTACTGTTGTAAAATGTAATATCGTGATACACCCTGCTTCATCTTAAACTTTATTACTTCTGAATAGTTCAAATATCAAATAAATAAATATCAATAAAAACCACCAAGACACAATGTTTTTCTTGATTTTATTTAAAGACATGAAGTTGTCCTCACCTCAATGTAAAAAGCAGCGATGTTCTTTCACTTTATACTTTATTCACATTTGAATTTCCGATTGAGAGTCAGATGAATTTGTATTTTCTATTTCTTTCTGAACTGAAATAAGGTTTGGTGGACTTCAAGAAAAACCACTGACACTCTGTAACACAACTACTGATGTGGAACAGAGGCCATGCAGCTGCTAAACGTGGATCCCCACACAGTGTTGAGCACAGATGCAGATGTTCACAAACACGTAAATAAATAGGTTTAAGTGTCCAGGTTGGGTTGAAGTGTGAAACATTTGCTGTGGTATTTACAGAGTCCTCGTGCTGTGTAAAATGCAGAAAGCACCATGTTGCTCTAATAGAAAGGGTCTCATTTGGTAAAACATCAAACTGCCCCTTTACCTAGAAAGGAATGGGAAGTCCCATCATGTGGAGGCCATGATGGGGGCGAGTCAGATGCAGTTTCAGCGGTGCAGCGCGGCGTCCTACTCGGCTTTCTTGGCCTTCCTCTTGCGAGCACCATCGCTCAGCTCCTCCTTGGTTTTGAGAGGTGAAGATGGGGCAGCGGCGGGAGGGTGGTGGTGGTCTTCCTCAGATCCACCCAGAGGGGAGCCGAACAGCAGGTGGCAAACCCAGGACTCAATGAGGGCGAAGGGGGAGCCGTGAGAGTGTCGGGCGGTCATCACCACCTGGAGAAAGATGATGTTAGACAGAGGTTTCCAAAGTTTCCCATGCCAAATACTACATACAATAATGTTTTTATAAATTATATTTTATAATAATACACATTATAATCGGGTAATAATCTGATTTTATTCATTTTTATTATTTTTTAAAGCATCTTCCCTAAACATTTCTGAGGCCCCCCACTTTGAAAAACACTGAGTTAGAAGAGATCAGTATGATTTTGTGATAACTAACCGATTGTGTTACAAACTGGGGACATGGATTTTGAAAAATGTAGAGGTTAACTGGGCATGGGCATTATGGGAATTGTAGTATGAAGCATTTTCAGAGTTTGACTCCTACCAGGGACAAAAATATCAGGATATCTCCAGCTCTGCCGTCAATTTTTACCATTTTGTTTTTAAACGTGTCTCTCTAACTTCTCGTGACAAATAAGTCAAAGTGGTGTGTTTCATTCATCCTCTTTAATGCCCCAGAAAAACAAACACTGTCAATCACGCTTCACACAGCTGATCTCACCTTGCTTGATGCCATGAAGAAGGTGAAGGCGAGGATGAGGGTGCTCTTGGACACTGGCAGCCAGTGAGCCTCCTGCATGGTGAAGAGGATGGCTCCGTACAGACTGGCTTTGGTTGGGCTGCAGAGACGAAAGACAAAACATCTGTAAAACATCTGGCTGTGGCAGGGAACAGGGTACTATTTCTCTAGGCCAACATACATCTCTCACAAAGACTGAAAACATACAATTTTACTATTATCATTTTTTGCGTTTCCATTTAATTTGAATGTATAATTGTTTAGAAGTTTGAACGTTCCTCTGTAGGTTGAACAAATTAAATACATTGATTGAAGATGACATTGTGTAAATGTGGTGCAGTACAGACTTTGCTTCTACCATCAGGGGGCGCCAAAGTCAGAACCCTTCTACACATGACTTCAACAAACCTGTTTTGTGTCCAGCTTTTTGTCACCATAACTTTTAAGTCCTAGTTTTGTCTACATGCTTGAGGAGGCAGCGGTGAGTACATTTCCCCCTGTCAGCAGCAGGAAAACAGACTTACAATGACATGTTGAGGATCTCGTTGGTTTCGGGCCTCCACACACCGCGCAGCAGCTGCTCAAAATTGGAAATGAGAGCCACTCCAGACCCTGCAAAGATAAAAATAGACAGTGGAAAAATGAGGACAAAAAAGTCTCTGTGTCTCGTGTGACTGCTTTTATCTGGCTTCAGCTTTTCTCTCCTATTTTCAACGTGGACGCCTGCAGGGCCCCACTGTTGAAACAGCAGGGGGCAAAACCAGGACAACCATTTATATAGGCCTATATTTCTACATGTCTCTACTATCTGAGTGAAAATAGTTCAGGAAATCTATGGTTTGTGTGTGCAAGTTTTAAGATATTGTACAGTTACATACAGTCGAGCATACATATGATTCCTCCATCATTTAAAAGCAGTTCTGGGATCAAACGTAAACATTGTTTCTTTCCACTTTCTTCATTTCAAGAAGTCAAACTAAGCTGAACTGACATTCTCTAGTTACCAACGTATCCTGGGTTCTCTGAGTAACCTGGCACTGTCTCACGTAAACATGAATGAATGGCAGCACATGTGCTCACTGACATGAACATGTGCTGCTGTTCATTCATGTTTAAATGTGGCAGCTGTGTAGTTTCCTGGAGGTGTTGCTCTCTGTCACTCACTGAATGCAGCTGTCAACACCAAGCTGTATTAAAGCTGCAGTGTGAAACAATTCATTAGATCTATCAGCAAATAGGAATCTAATATTCACTGGTATGTTTTCACTGGAAAATGAGAATTGTTGTGCTTTTGTTTGTTTAGAAAGAGATCTGCAACTACGCTACTAGATGCCACTAAATCCTACACACTGTGCCTTTAAAGAAACAGCAATAATTAATCAATTAGTGGATTGAAAAATAATCAAAGGAAATAAAATTGATAATGAATTAATCGTTTCAGTAATTTTTCAAGCAAACATTTGTTAGTTTCAGCTTCTAACTTGTGCTTTTCTTTGTCTCATGTGATAATAAACTGAATATGTTCAGGTTTTGGGGAGTTTATCTGACAAAACAAGTTGACATCATCTTTGGTTTTAGGGAATTGTGATGGTCACAATTTCTTTTTTTCTTCTTTTAATTGACTAATTGAGAAAATAATGGTCAGTTTAACAGTTTCAGGCCGACTTTCTTCAAGGTGATGTAGCCAGTATTTGTACAAAAAGATGCTGGATCTGTTGGAATAAAGTCACTAAATGTTGCTGTGTTGATTGTAGTTGTAATCATTTAGTTAAAATAACAAAATTTGGGTGTTGTGAACATTTAAAACCCAAATTTAAACATGATTAACTTTTATGCATCAACTGTCTTTGCTAATCTTAATAATTGAATATTGTTGTAACCATATAAAGACATTTAAAACAGTGAATGGAAGGAAATCACTGTAGAATCACCTTTGACGTATCCAACGATGACCATGATGAAGAAGCCGTGGTGGTAGGCGTGGCTGGCGTGGTGAACACCGGCGGCGATCTTACGAGTGCGGACGACTTCCTTCAGGGCGACCAACACCAGCTTGACGGGCAGGAAAGCCACACATTTATAGAAGAGGTTCAGTGGGCAGTAAAAGAGGAGGTACCTGTGTTTGTATTTGATACAGACGGAGAAAGATGGTGGAGAATAAGATGTTAGAGTGGAAGAAAAAACTATATATTCAGCTTTAATGTCACTTAAATCACAGAAATGAAACTTTTCTGTCTAGAAAGATTAGTTTTTGGTTGCCATGGTTTTGAGAAATCTACTGTTGAGATTTCTGCTGTCATCCTAATTTTAAAAAACTTGTTTTATTCTGTTCTATTAGATTGTATTGTGTTGTAGAGCATTTCTTTGTATTAGGTCAAAAACCTGTATTTGGTAAGATGTAGTCTCAGGAATCTCCTTCTGATAATATTTAGTTATTCCTTAACTCTCTATACTGCAGATTAACAGTGAAAAGTGTGAAAACCTTTGAACGGTCATTCTTTTACATTCTCTCATTGGGATCATTTTTAAGTCCATAAAATAATACTGAAATTAAAATACCGCCCATTATTCTGGGGAACTCCTGGAACCACCTCAAGACGCGAGGTTGAGAAACAATGATGTGAAGAACTTTGCCTATGATTTAAGAATATTTATTAGAAATACTCCACAGACTTTGTGGAGGACATTTCATCTTTCTTTTCTTAAACTTTTTGTAGCAAGTGGTGTCACTGAAGTCTGTAGTCTGCAAGTAATTTTGCATTGCTTTAAACCCTTAAAACCAAATTTAATCCACCTATTATGATATTTTAAAATCAGCAGATACAGCTAACGATATGTGGGGGACATGAACTGATCTTTTAAAGGACCAGTGTGGAGGATTTAGTGGCCGTGAAGTGGAAGATTGCAACTAACTGAACACCACTCGACAGTATGTCAGAGAAACTAAAGTGGCCACGAAACTCACAAAAAATGCGAAAGGACCGATCTAGAGCCAGTGTTTGGTTTTTCCCTTCTGGGCTACTGTAGAAACATGGCCGTTCAACATGGCAGCCTCTGTGGAAGAGGACCCGCTCTTTGTAGATAAAAACGGCTCATTCTAAGGTAACGAAAACATTTTAGTTCTTATTTTCAGGTGTTTATTATACATCCATTTCTACCAGTAGATCTCCCTCAATGTTACACACTGGACTTTTTTTTTTGTTGTTGTTGTTTTGGCCTTTTTATTGGCTTTATTGGATAGTGACAGCTGTAGATAGACAGGAAAGGTGGGTAGAGAGAGAGAGGGGATGACACGCAGCGAAGGGCCGCAGGTCAGATTCGAACCCGGGCCGCTGCAGCAACTCCGTACATGGGTCGCCAGACTTTTAAATAAATAATAAATTCATTTTTTGAGGGGAATGACCTCTAAACAGGCTGAAAAGGGATAATTTGATCTCATGTACAATCTTTAAAGTTTGATGAAACGTATGAATCTTAAAAAATACGACTTGATGGTCCCATCCATGAGAACTTAGATCAGAATCTCTTCCACTGTGAAGGGTAGAGCCACCCTGAATAGTGGCGCCGATAGAAATCTCTCTTGGGGAGGCCAGATGGGTCCACTGAAGATCTCGGTCAGAGGTCAGAGTGTGATGCAGTTATGGAGGTTCAGAGGCTAAATCCATTTATTTTCTTTCACATGAACTATTATGGAAAATATACATAAATACGAGGGGGGACCAACAATTATATCAGCCCCCCTTGGAGGGCCACTGTTTCTAAGGTTTTCTCACCAGACAGCTGAGGCCAGCAGGATGTGGCTGTTGTATTGGAAATAGTCGATGGGGCTGCCTCCAAGCATGATGTCTGCCAGGATGTAACTACCAAAGCAGTAGAGCATGGCACAGAGCCAGGAGGCCACGGGACTCCTGCGAGAGACCTCCACCGAGCCTGCAACAGAGAGGAGGGGCTGTCAGGGGTTGTTCCTCAAACACAGTTAATACGAGTGTGTCACTGATTAATTCAAGGCTTTTTTAAGTCATTACTCATAATCAGTTGATTTGTTAACAAAAACCAGTGTATGAAAATGATTCATTATAGGTAAATAGAAAGAAATACACAGAAAATCTACCAGGTACAAAGTCCCACACGTATGAAATAAGTCTCTGCAGGTATCAATGTACATTTTCTTAATTTAAATCTGAGTTATTAATTAGTAAATTTTGTGATTTAGTGATTAGATTATGTTGTTTTTGCAAAAAGGCTCCTTTAATATCATCCTGTGTTCTCTAAGTGTATCAATTAACCAATCAATTGTGATTAACCTCTGAAATAATGATGAATCCTAATTGTCCAAATCCTGTTTTAGAAGCTTTTACACAGAAACTTCAGAGTAAATGTTTATTTTAAAAACTTTCTGTATGTCCCAACAGAGAAAAACTGTTGGCAATGCCCTTCCTTTATCAGTGGATCCCTCGTGTGTCTATGTGCTGTATCTTTGTCCACGCCCAGTCCACCACTTCAGTTCACGCCCTGATAATCTGCCTTTTTATCATAACCTAATATTGACTCAGGGCCGATATGTGAGCTGACAGTTAACTCAACTAATGACTGCGTCTTTGAAGTGACTTGAGCAGAACAGACAGCTCTTTATTAAATTGATTTTATGCTTTATTTATGATAATTTAGCTTTATTTTTGTTGTGAACTTGTTGTGAAGAAAACATTTAGTAAATCTACACACCTCTGATTTATTATAGTCCTCATATTTATGTGAAAAAGGTTTTCACAGGTTGCTTACTCTTTGATTACTTCAGGCCTTGTATATTGTAGGTTACTATTATCTGTTACTAGGTCTGTCTCAGTCTAGACCACCAGGACTCCCTCACTTCTAACATATTGATTTACTATCTCAAAATTAGGACTTATATCGCATACATTCAACTTATAGAGTCAAAATGTATAACTTAGACAGTCAGTGTTGACTTAATTTAATTATTTATTTATGTAGATTTTTTTTTCTTCCAGGCAGAAACGGACTTCCATATAAACTCCATCATTACAAACTCATCCTCTGTAGCTGAACAGAACTTTATTTTAGAGTTTGTCACTTTAATATGACTTATCTATCTATCTATCTATCTATCTATCTATCTATCTATCTATCTATCTATCTATCTATCTATCTATCTATCTATCTATCTATCTATCTTTTCGTCCATTGTTACTCTTCTCTTGGTATAAAATGGCTTTCATATATTAAGAGAAAGACTAAGACAAGAATAACTACAGCATCTCTCTAACCCTGTTTGTTTTGTTTGTTTGTTTGTTTGTTTGTTTGTTTGTTTGTTTGTTGAGCGTCCAAACTGTGTTTCTCCTTGTTTCTCCTCCTTGTCCTCTCTTCACTCAGACCTCTCGGTGTGGGACCATCAACCGTCTTAAGGTTGTAACAATGAATCCTGTGTTTTGCATGTCAAATGTAAAATGTAAATTCTTATGTGAAGGACAAGTTCCTCAGAAGTGTACGTTGAATGGTCTCAGTTACGTTGCTGAGATACATTTAAAGGATGACAGATGAATCTGTATGAACACGACCACAAACAAACTCTTACAAATATTAGATATTTCTATGTAAAGAATGAAATTATTCTCAGACTGTATGTGTTGCCGGTGTTACGACACCGTGTTAGAGACATTCAGTAAATGGAGACGTGAACAGTGCGCGGCTGCTTCACCGCACAAATCTCCAACAACAGGTGGGTGAGGGTGTCGTGGTGCGACAGGCGATCAGTTCGAAAGCAATCTGATCCTCAGAAATGTCGCCCTATAAATATATTCTGCTCAACTGCTTCTCCTGCCTTGCAACTGTCAGGCCTGTCTTAACCTTTGACCCCAACACTTGTCTTCCCCACCACCACCACCACCAACTCTTCAGCCATGTTGACCCCCAAAACTCATTCCTGTGCTGTTCTAACGTACTGTGAACTAGCTCTCTGCACTCAGACACATGTAGGGAATGGTGAACATTAGACGATCATGCAAATGATGGAGAGATATTTGACTGTAAAATATTCTGAGAGAGAAAGTTAAAAGGTTTACAGTCACAGTGTCAGCGTTACAGTTCGCCTGAGGTCTGATGAAATAATGGGTTTGTTTACAGTAAAAACAAGCTCTCTCTCAGTCTTTTTAACCTCTTTTTTCCTTTAATATAATAAAGCTTTTACTTCAACTATTATGACAAATGTTCCACTTTAGTGTTTGATCAGTGCTTTGAGGGACAGTGTATGCATAACTTTACACATGTGTTCACTCAAATTAGCAAATTACAGTTGTGAGTTCTCTAAAACTTATTTATTCCTCCACATTAATCTTCCTTGTCAAAACCTGGCGCCTACATTACCCACAATGCAGCTCAACCAAAGGTTCTATCTGAGATACAGTTATGTTGTGCTAACAGGGGCTAATGTAGCCTTGAGCTGTCCCCATGCAGAGATGAGGAGCGGGCTACAGAGGTCTCCCCACACCCACAGATGTTTTCAAACTTGTCGTCTTCAGACCCAATCGACAACGACTCAAGTGACATCACACGAGGCCAAGACCTGTAAACAGACTTTGATGTAAAATAGGTGTAGTTGCCCTTTAAGTTCAGTTTGGTAGGACACCAAACACAATAAGTTTCCCCTTTGTAGCTACAACTTATGAGGATAGATGTATTGTTGACAGGCCATAACAATATGATATCTACTAACCTTCTCCAGTTAGCAGTTCTATATTTTCCTCACTGCAGGTGACTGGAGCTTCAACACACACATGAAATAAAGGTTTCCCATTTGTTTATGAGGTTGAGGTGTGTGTTGGTGCTCCTACAACCTTCACTGACGTCACATTCACTTGAACTTTCATGCCAGAGTGAACTTTTTCTTCAAGGTGAGGAGTTATTTTACAAGCTGCACACTCCCAGGAACAGTAAGGTCAACGGCTTTATTTCATGTTTAACAGTTCAGTGTAAATAACACACCCAACTGCAGCCTGTGTGTGCAGCGGAGGGGCTTCAGAGACCCACAGACACGGTCTATTTCAGGATCTTCTATTTATTGACTAAGTCGCTGGTATGCACAGGGCCTTTCTCTCAGGTTTCATCCTCCTCAGGTTGCTCAAAGGAGTTAAATCTTGTAAAATATCAGCCTTTACCCAAAAGCTGAGTGGTTTAATCTACTAACAGTGATTTCCTCAGCGTGAATGAGGTCAGACTGCTGCAGCAACAGACATTCCCTCACAGCAAGCAAGCAGAGCTGCAAGTGCTCCTGCTCAGGTTTATGTAACAGGTCATGCTTTATAAGGATAGGGTGCTATACAGATAACAGAAAGTCCCTATAGGGATATTACTGCAATGTGGAGTTATAACACACAAAAACAACTCCAGAAAAGGCTACATGTGCATTCAATCTCTTACACAAGAAGTCTGACAGATTACTTATACGTTTTTAAGGCTTCCAATATTTAATTACAATGTTATTTATATATATAAATATATTATAGATGTATTTTTACTTTGTGTTGTAAGTAATGTAGCCTATGTTTAGGGCAGGTAATGGTTAAAGACCTGCAGGAATAACAAGCAGAATAGCTTGGAGATCATCATATTTAGGATGTCCAAGTAGTAAAGCGGACTTTTAATTTGAAAAGCAACCACGCAAACAGTGTAAAACACACTCACCTGGCTCATACTTGAGGTAGAGGATGGATACGATGTAATACGCGAGATCAAACACAGGAAACATTCCCATTTTGGAGAAATTTTGGGCAAAATCGCCCAAATTAAGAACTCCTAGCACTGCTTCCATGTTGCCTCTCTGATAACCAGTGAATGTTTCTTTTCTTTTCTTTTTGAAGTCCAACTGCGCAGTCTGGATCAGAAAAAGCCCCCCCAAAACCCGGTCCACCGACTCTTCTCCACCAAGCCCCCCGGTCTTAACAGTGAAAGCCTGTGACACTCAAGCCTTCCTATTAATATCACTCATCTCCACACAGCATGAGCATCATCCTCATCGCCATCATCATCATCATCATCATCTGCCAGCTGCTGCGCTTTCCAGGCGACAGGAGGTGTTTCGTGTCAGCTGCTTGAAATTTAAAAACAAAAGGCTGGTTGTCCTCCTGTGTTCATCCCGGACATTATTATCCTTATTCACCTGAGCCTCAAGACGCAGTTAGAGGTTTGATAAATAGCATCCGAGACAAGTGTCCACGTTTAACACAGATTTATTCACCCGCTCATAAAAAACACAATCCCACAATCCGGATCAGATCCTGCACCGAGGCTGATTCACGGCTAAATGAGCGACAGTAATCCCGAACAGCCCGGTGGAGATATCACCGGCTGTTTACATTCTTCCAGATGGAGGCAGGAAGGTTGCAGTAAGGTTATGGAGCCTCCATAAGCACACAGCAGTCCGATTATTTCATTTATATTATTTAATTGATTTAATTATTTTGGTTTATTTATGTTTTGCTTTTAATTCTTGGGTATAATTCTCAGAGCAACGAGCTCCGTCACCACCAGGGGGCGCCAAATGTAATAAGATTGTTTTTGGTTTTTTTTATGATTGCTTATCTCTTAGTCATATTGTTTCTTGATATTTTTGTTCTTGTTTATTGGGCTCAGTTAGATAATTACTTGTTTTGAGTAGTGAAACCACAGACAGTTATGTTCTCAAATAAATAATTGGTGGTATAAGGTGTCCACATTAAATAAATAAATAATAAAAATACATAAATATGAATCTTGAAAATGAAATATGAAAGATTATGCTACTTTTCCCAGTATAATAAAGGCTGGAGGTGCCTGGTCTGACCTGTTTTTATTTGTTTGTTTTTTGTCAATTCTGCAGATAATTAGTTTTTATTAGTATTTTATTTTTTTTGATAGATTTACAAACAAATATTTAAAATTACATAGTTACATATTTACACAGAAAGTGGGGAACAGAGTAATTATTCCATGCACGCTTTTATAAATGTTTTTTTATTTAAATAAAGATGGTAAAACAAAAATATAAATAAAAATGTGCACAAAGAAATACACACATTTTACCTCGTTGTAACTAAATGTTAGATGGCCCAATGGTGATTTTAAATAGTTATTAAAGTGTTGTGATGGTTACTGATGTGTAACAGAATTTAAAAAAGCAGCAACAATAGATCAGCAAACCTCTGCAGCTCTGAATCTACAGCCAATGGTCTGAACCTGCCGCTGCTGTGACCTTCCTGGTCTACAGGTGGCGCTCATCGCTCAGGTGTGGTTTACATTATTTAATGTGTTTATTCCTCATTTTAGTCTTTCAGGTTGAATGTCTTCGCTGCTGTACAACACGTATCGATCTCCTTCTTTCCACAATGCCTCCATATTGTTACATTTAACTCCTAGTGCTGCTTAAACTGAAACTAAACAGCCATTAGAGAGGCTGCGGCACACAGCCTGACACTGGCAGGAACAACCTGACAGTCCAACCTCAGGGCATCAAACCTAAAACACACACAATACTCAAACGTGATTGGCCACATTCCCGATTGCGTGTACGAACGCGGAAGTGAGTCGTCTCTGTGATGTGATGTGAACAAGATGATCGGAGATCTGTTGATATTCGGGTAATTTCCTCGGTTTCTGACACTTCTCACGTACTGATACCTCCCTGAGCGACCGCACTGTCCTCCCTGTGTGTGTTATTGTGTACCATGTGGTCAGGTAGATAGCGGGGTGTCGAGTTAAAAACCCGCCAGCTAGCTCCGTGCTAACTGCCAGCTCACCAGCTAACGTCAACAGGTAAATAACAACAACGTTTACCTGTCAACAAAGAGTCTCTCTCTCTCTCTGTGTGTGTGCTCTCTAGGACCTTACTGGTGAATGCAGGAGCTGTGCTGAACTTCAAGCTGTGAGTAGACGTCACAGTCACTGATGGACCAAATAAACAAATCAGTCGGTTAACTGTTGTTGTTTGTTGTTTGTTGTTGTTGTTGTTGTTGTTGTGCAGTAAAAGGAAGGAGTCCCAAGGATTTGGAGATGAGTCCAGATCACCGACAACAGGTGTGTGTGTGTGTGTGTGTTATATAAAGAGAGATAGTTTGTGTCTCAGGTGTTTGTTGGTGTTGAAGCACTGGTAGAAGATAATAACCAGTTTGTGTTTCAGGGGACAACATCAGAGAATTTCTGCTCAGCCTGCGATACTTTCGGATCTTCATCGCCCTGTGGAACATCTTCATGATGTTCTGCATGATCCTGTGAGTAGTGAGAGTCTTTTACTGGATGCTGCCATCATGTTTGTGGTACAAATGCATTTTGCTCGTGAAATAATGTTTTCTGTCGCAGGAATATTTATATTTTTGAGCAAATGTTTTGAAGTGGGAATGTGAAAATACTTTGATTACTTTAGATTTTGCAAACCCGCTTTCCTTCCTTCATCCGGCCTCTTGTGCTTCAGTTTTTCATTTCCTACATTTAAGCCTTTAACCCTTTTAATATGTCCTTTAAATGTTGTGTGAGCTTTCCTAACTCACTGAATGTCTTTTATCCTCAGATTGTTTGGATCGTGATCAACGTTTGTGGCGACTGGACTTCCACCAGGATGCTCACTTTACAATATGGATGCTAATAACCTTCTCCTTAATGGGACTTTGCTGTTCTTTCGGTGCTTTTAACTGTAATTATGTTCCATTTTCTTTACGACCCCAAAAACCGAAAATATATATAAATACGTCTGGCTGGAATTTATGAATCGCTGTATTTATTTAGTCATGTTACATTTCTACCCTTTTAGTTTAACCTGTAACTGCCCCACAACCCCTGCCTTTCCTGGATGTGTGTTGTCTTGTGCCCCTTAGCTATTTCCTCCAGCATGTCAGTTTGTTCATTAAAGAAGCAACAGGTTTGAAAACGATGGCCAGCCGTCTCTAACAGGATAGAAAATGTTTCTCTGTGGCTTATTACCTGCGTGTCATCATCTGCTCTGCCCTCTAAAACCTCACATATCATCTTGCTTACATTTCCTTTTATCCCTTTTACTTGCACAGCCGTCACAGCTCAGCTGTATTCAACAGACAACTCAAGGTGGTTGCGGTCATTTAAGGAACTCTCCATCTCCTCTGTTGGTGATAAACGGCACAAACATCTGCAGATTTACTCATCAGATGTTCGGCTCTACGTGTGTCGGTACAGAATATTAAAACAATGTCATTTTTCCTGCTGTGGGGCCACATGTGCTGTTAGTATATGTATATGCACTATATTGTAAATGTGTCCTTATTCTTAACAATAAAAATACATTTTTCTTATCCACTGTTAATTGAGTTGAGTGGTTGTGACGGTACGAGGGACTCACTGATCCAGCTCTGATCTCATAAAGCTGATCAGGTTTTGACTGATTGACACATCAGATACAGTTCCTCTGTCAATGATGGGATCCATGATACTTATTCCTAAAAAAAGCATAATACATACTGACTTTATACAGTATACTATACATGTGTTAAACTACAATTTAGTGCAGGTAATGTAAAAGAAATCAACTAAAGCAAAAATAAATTTAAAATAATTAAATTTAGGATTTTTTCCAGAGGTTGTAGGGAATAATTTCTGTCTCCTTTCACTCTTTACGTGTCGCCATCTCAGCCCTTGAATCGATCCACACACTATACAGTCTATAATGATTCTTCCAACTTCATTACAAGGCAACAGTGCCCTCAAGTGACAACGTGAGAAATGAGCAATATACAGGAAACTGTCTCACGGACGAAGGGTGAAGAAATACATGACAATGCATAGAAAAAAAATACATTTAATAAAACGTGGTTAGCAGGGTAATCCGAGGTAAAGATACGATATATATATATATATATATATATATATATATATATATATATATATATGTATATATATATTTACTAACCCATATTACATAGACAGTTTTGACAGCTTTTGTTATTGAATGACATCAGTTTCCTTAAAAACATGACAAAGAATGTTATTATTTAATTATTTAGTTTATTATTTATCATTAGTATTATTAGTATTGTTGTTGTTTTATTGCCACAATAAGAATATAATTCAGAAGGGGGGAGGTATTAGTATCTTTATAGTTATATACATAAAAAAACAAATATATTATCTTTTAAGGAAAGGTATGAAGGAAGGATTTTATTCCACATTATATATTTCAGGTTGCACATTTAAATGAATTTGATTAAACCCAGCACCGACCACACTTCAGTCTCAATAATGGACTGTAACAGACAGAACAACAACGTCGACGTCAACAATCGGTTACGTAAATTTACCCACAATGCTCCGCGCGAGCCCTTCACACACACACACACACACACAAAAAAAAAAAAAAAAAAAAAACCTCCGGTGAGTAGACCGAGGAGGAGGAGGCTACCAGCCGAGGAGGGGTAGCCGATTCCCGGACAGGATTTTATGTTTCCTCGTCGTCCGAAGGATCGAAGTCGTGACGGAGACTAACAGCATCATACAGCATGATGCTCGCGCTCTCCGAGGATCGTCCGTTGGGCCTGCTGTGAGCGTCAGCAGGCTTCCAACCGCCGCCTCTTCTTCTTCTGCTTCTGCTTCTTCTTCTTCTTCTTCTTCGGGGGATTCTGCTGTCTGAAGTCCGTCCTGACACCGCCAGGCGATGACAGCGGCTACAGCCACTCCGCAGGTGATGAGAGACCGGCTGCTGCAGGCCATCGACGGCCAGAGCAATGTGAGTACAGCCGCCGGTTTACAGATGGACGAGCTGGGCGAAGAAAGGGAGGAAGAACAAAAAAAAAACCAAGCAAGGCCAAACCGACTCCAGCTCCTCCACAGAGGGGTTGACAAAGTGGAGAGGGAGGAGGAGGGGGGGAGGAGGAGGGGAGGCAGTCATTGTATGGAGAGTTAGTATTTGCTTGCTAATTAGCTTGGCTAATATTAGTTAGCCTAAAGTAAAGGGTGTCTCTCCAGAGCCTGGCTAACTGACTGCTGCTGGCTAATGTTGGTGAAGCTTTAGTTCGCTCATTTGTGTGCAGTGAAACGCTTCAGGGTTGGATCTGTAGTCAGGGGTCTCTTTCAGGAAGCTCAGGGCTTCACACATTACATTTAAAACATATATATATATATATATATATATATGTGTGTGTGTGTGTGTGTGTGTGTGTTTGCCCTTACAGTACACAGCTGATAAGACAGCCAGGGTTTGTCACTGGACTTTACTTTAAAGACAGAGAAGCAGTGGTACAGCCAAAGAAGGAAACGTTTTAACACTATAACAACATAATACCAGACTTTTGCAGGATGCTGTCTTGTTCTTCTGTATCACCGGTATTGCCAATCATTACAAAATACTGTAAAAATACCTCAGCAATCTCCATAAGCCTGATAAACTAAAGCCTACTTGGAGAAATGTAAGTAATGTCATTACAGTATACTGTATACTGCGCTGCTGTGTTCAAAGGTTTAAGCACAACTTAATGAGCTAATGTGTTCACTTCTAGATCTCTTCTGTACAACTCACAACATAACGTGTTATCTACAGTGGTCCACCACTACCACAGTATATGATTTTGTTCTCGTGTCATGCACATAAAGTGCCAAACCCTCGTGGGTTTACAAGCAGTCAATGATGTATTCATCATTATACAACACTAGGCTGTATAACCAAATGACGGTCTGTAGGTCCTTCATACTACTAACATACAAAAAGATAATCAAATTCATAGAATAACATAAAAGATTAATAAAATAGAATAAAAAACAACATATACATTTATTTATTTATATATTAGTATCACACATACATGTGTAATATAATAATGATAATAATAACACAGTGAACAGCCGTGTTGAGAATATAGTGATCATAACATGGTTTCATCTTCACATAAAAAGAAGCCGTGTACATCCAGTTTGACTGCAAGCATCATCGATAAACACAGAGGTTCGCCTCCGTCGTCCTGTGCTCTGACACCAAAACTACAGTTGCAGTGGTCAAACATTTAATTTCAGGACAAAATTACAGATTATTTTACAGCCTTTGGTCTCTAACAATATATTCTGCTTCTCTCCTAAGCTTGGCAAATAAAATTCACCACATAACTTTTCAAAATCAGCCAGCCAAAAGAAATCCTCATTCAGCAAAACCTTTACATCTCTTATGTCCTCATAGACAGGACAGCAAGACAAAAAATGAACCTCATTCACAGTTTCACCTCATCTAAACGGTATGGTAAGATCTATGATTGTGGACAAATCTCAAAGTATATATCACCCAGAGTAAACCCAGATTAAAGTGGACTCACTGCTGTGGTCAGCCACCTTTTTTCTTTCTATTTTACTGGCAGATCTGACTTCTCGGATAAAATGTCACATTTGCATGCAATCTTAGTTTGTCATATTGAGACTGAAACCAGTAGGGGTACATTGTGTACTGACATACAGGTGCACATTTGAAAGTTATTCAAATTATGCCTGGACCCTCTAAGAGCTTCTCAGTGTCTCTCTGGGAAACATATGCATATTGGCCCTGTAAGGTTGTGAGTCACAAATTATAACATCTACATACACAACTAATACTTGGACGCTGTTGTTCTCAGTCTGACAATATGATGACGTCTGAGGATTGTGATATATTAAGTTCTGTGTCTTTTCAGCAGATATGCAACATGGTGGTAGTTATGGAGGTGATCTCCTTTTTGGAGAAATATCCTATCACCAAAGAGGCCCTGGAGGTAGGTAACATTCAGACCTATTGTATGCGTATTAAAAACAAAATGCAGGTTGATCCAGTCAAGTCATAGCCGCTGTTTAACACTGATATTATCTCCTTAAAGGAAACCCGTCTTGGTAAACTCATCAATGACGTCCGGAAGAAAACCAAGAATGAGGACCTTGCAAGAAGGGCAAAGAAGCTCCTGCGAAACTGGCAGAAGCTAATCGAGCCAGGGAAGGGTGAGGTGTTGTCCAAAGGGCACACCGGTGCATCGTGGTCTTCCAATGGTGGTGCTCATCCCTGCATCCCAGTTCCAGCTGCCACCACACCATCAGGTAAAACAGGTCCCGAGCTGAAGAACAGAAATGACTTCAACAACTGCTCCTCCCCTCGGGTGGAAAAACCGAGCAACAGGAAGCGTAAGGGTGATCAGAAGGAAGGACAGCTCTTACCAGCCAAGATATCCAAAACGACTCTTAATGATAAAATACAAAACTCCAAACAGCTGCCAACCAATGGAATTGGTGGTAGCTCTGAAATTTTTACAGATACTCGTGCACATCAGCCTTTAGACAGGGAGCTTTCTGAGCCTTTGGACAACGACAGGCCAAATAAAATCCCTGTCAATGCTGTAAAACCTCATCCAAGTGCCCCGGGATACAGCAAGCCTCCTAGCACTTCTTCTTTGCTAAAAGCATCAGTTCTGCAGCAGCAAGCCAGACAGGAGCAAGCTGCCTCTGGGGGGCAGCATCGACCCAGAAGCCCACGCGGTTCCTTGCACAGTCCTCAAACTCCTCAAACTCCAAAGCAGGAAGCTGGTGTTAAACAAAATCCATCACAAGCACAGAGTCTTTCTGGCCCCACTGTGAGGCCTGGATCTGTGGATACCTCTGGGCTGGGGTCATCCCCTCAGCCTTTCAGTGTTTGTGTTCAGGGTTTGCACACTGACGGTTCACGGTCCGCAGATTTGGACTCTAAAAGCAGGCCTCTCAATACATCTCTTCACAACTCACATGGCTCCTCCTGCAGTGATGGGGTCAGCTTGGAAGATGATAGTGCTGTTAGCAATACAGGGAAAAGGAAAGGACAGAAATACAAGCCTAAGGACTGTGTGGTAAAGGTAGATGGACAGACTGTTGAAGACAGCACTAAACCAGTCAGGTTAAAAGACAGGAGACTGACATTTGACCCTGTAACAGGACAGATCAAGTCGTCTTTTCATAAGGAGTCTTGCCAGGAGGGGGAGGTAAGACTGGGTAACAAACCTGAATCTCAGTGGTCAGAACAGCCGAAGCAGAATCCACCAGCTGGTCCGAGTCCCTTCCAGCAGACAGACTGGAAAGAGCTGTCAAGGAGCGAAATCATCCAGTCGTACCTTAGCCAGCAAAGCAACGTGCTGACATCGTCAGGCGCCCACACTCCTGGTGCACACTTTTTCATGACGGAGTTCTTGAAAAAAGAGGAACACCAAAGGAAAGATGCCAAGGAAACACACACGTTGGCTCGAGAACTCCCAGCCAGGGATTTACCGGGGGTTATCCGAGAGGTCAACAATGAAGACCTGAACAAATTACACACACAACACTGGTCCGGGGTTAACGGTTGCTACGACACAAAGGGTAACTGGTATGACTGGACAGAGTGCATTTCCTTAGACCCGCACGGAGACGAGAGCAGGTTGAACATACTGCCGTACGTCTGTCTGGATTGACACTGAGGTCAGGTTTCTGAATTGGTGGAGTAAAGCTGCCTTCATCGTACAGCGGAGCCACTTTGCATGTGTGAAGGCACTTCACATAAGTGTAAGCTGCTGTTTTTGCACCGATGGTGAAAAGTGGTGTCAATGTGCTGCCTGCTTGGGTGTGTGCCGAGTGCACAGGGGGTGTAATAAGTGTTTTGAACATTGGATGAGGACAGGGCAACGAAAAAAAGGCTATGCATTATCTGACCTTTCAGTTGTTAGTGTTCAGTAACTGTAAAAAAGATTGAGTTTCCAATACCTGCCATTCTTTCTATGGGAGACGACATCACGTTAAACTGCACAGTTACATTTTATTCGTCTTATGTTATCCATGTGCCTCGTGGAATGTGACTTTACTGAATTTATTTTTTGCACCCGCTCTCATTTAGTCCACAGTGCAGTTTTTTTTTTTTTTTTCATTTAAAGTTTAGTTCAAGTTTATGTAAAAAAAAAAAAAAATGAATAAATCTGTGACTCAATCAACTTCATCACCTTTCAGTAGAGACTAATAAGCTACATAATTGGAGCAGACATCCAACAGATATGTCCCAGTGTGGTTTTCTTGTTGGCATTTGCTCATTCATCTTGAACAAGGCTATGTAGCTGTTAAAGCTGAATTCTGTCTTGAAGTTGCTACCTTCAATTACCATTGGTATTAACTACTATCAACTGTTTGTGCTGTGAAAAACATTTATCATTGCACCTTTTTAAAACTGCTGTCCTGCCATTGCACAACTGTCTCATGCAGCGACTTTAAGCAGAAAGAATAACTGACAAATCAGTTTTAAAAACATCTTAAAAGTTTTCTTGTGTTTTTGAGTTTTGAATGCTGTTGAATAAGAAATAAAACATAAAATCTGCCAGATGTGACTGTGCAGTTTGAAAGAAAGGCTTGTGTTGGGCTAGAGCAAAACACGCTGATGAAGAAAATGTGGCTGTCATGTGTGATATTTATTTACATATTCATTTTAAGATTATATACATGTTCAGACTACAATAAAATCATCTTTTGTTAGATTTCTTTATTCGGGAATTGGTTCAGTGATACAGCAGCGACTTTCCGAACTTTTCCTGCTGATACACCAACCTACCTTACACAGGAAAACTCTCCAAAATTACACATTTTTATAATGTGAACTAATTTTGTTTTATACTTGCCTTTTCCCTTTACTGTGTATTTAGGTTGTAAAAAAAAAAAAAAAATGAATTAAAATGGCAGAGCAGATTATACTACTAGCTTACATCTTTGTACTGTCAGGAAGAACTGAGGTAAAAATTGACATGCTGGATAAAGTACTTACTATCATTCCTTTTAGATATTGTTTGCCTTATGGAAACCTGTGTTTTCCCTAAAGACAGAGCCTTAGTGAATGTACAGAAATTAGCCTTTTGTGTTCAGTCGAATGCAGAAGAGAACATATTTGCTACTTAGTCCTTTAAGTGGACATGTTGACATGTGTTAATAAAAAAAACTGAAGGAATTTTGATTGTCTTTAAGTGTTCATTACTGCCTCTTTGCAATTACTCGCATTGATCTGACAAATGAATTCCCACAGTGCAGGATGGTTCTGCAGACACATAACTCTGCTGAATTTGAATTTATTCCCAGGATACTCACAAGATTTTGGAAACACGGTTCCCATGCTAATGAGAAAACTGAACAATATGTACCTAATCCTCTATGTGATGTAATTTCTCCTCTGTGAATGCAATCGGAGCTGATTCGATTAATCCAGTAGTTCAGTAGAAAATAACAAGCAACTATTTTAACAATCCATTGTCACTAAACATTTCCTTGTCCCAACTTCACAATTACGATATGAAGTTGGCTTTGACTGGCATTAAGGACATTAATAACAGCATTTTTTCTATTTTCTGACATTTTATAGACCAAACGAATTAACGTACTAATACAAATTATAGTTAGCTGCAGCCCTAAAAGGGTTTAAAGTATTGATAGAGAATTGAGACTCAAAAGGGTTCAATGTCATTTAAGCTTATTTCCACTGAGGCTTCAGCCAATCACATAACAGGCTCTAGTGGCATTATGATGAAATATAGTATAATAAAGTATTAAAAAAGGCTATTTTGAAATAAAAAAAAAATACTGCTAGAATGAAATAAAATGCAATAAATTGTATAGAATAATGAAGCAGGATTTAAAAATGTATTGGGTTATTTCACAATTATATATTTGTCCATTTATTCATATGATAAATAATTTTACATTGTCTTTATTTGTTTAATGTTTAGGGAAGGGGACACGTTCTTGCTGTAGTGAGCCACAATTATTTGTATTATTATTATTATTATTATTATTATTAAGTTTGAAATCTATTACGTATATATTTATTTATTTATTTAAAAATAACAATTTAAAATGGCAGATTTTGTAGAAAAATCTACCATTTTAAACGCAGCAGTTCCATTTTACAAACGCATGTCCGTGCGCGGCTTTTATTTTGAAGGTCCCCGGAAGCGCTGCGCTCCCCGCGTTGCCGTTGGTCTGACCGTTGAGCCGCGCTGCCAACCGCTCGGACCGACGTAGCTCCAGCAACCCGCCGGTGACTCGTCACTCCGCGCTGGAAGATGGCTGCGGCGGACCGGCCCCCGGTCAGGGAAGGGATCCGGATCGTGTTACTGTGTGTGTGCTGGTACACGGTCAGCTCGGGGGGCAACATCGTGAACAAAATCATCCTGAACGGATTCCCGTACCCGGTCACAGTCTCGCTGTTCCACATCATATCCATCGTCGTCTTCCTCCCGCCGCTGCTGCGAGCATGGGGAGTCCCCAAAACAGAGCTGCCTGCTCGGTACTACCGCTGGTACATCCTGCCTTTAGCTTTCGGGAAGTACTTCGCGTCTGTGTCGGCTCACTTCAGCATATGGAAAGTGCCCGTGTCGTACGCGCACACCGGTGAGTACCATAAACGTGAGGCCACCCGGTGCGTTGTCCGCCCGGGTAACTTCATGGTGATGTGTCTGGTACCGTCAGCTGATGTTAGCATCGCGGCTAACAACTCGGCGACACCGACATTTAAAGCTCTCGGTTTGCTCATAGTCCCTGGCGTCCTTTTTTTATTTTATTTTTCAGCCGTCGTGAACAGACAGGCTTTTCACCGGGTTTATTTGATTGAACATGTGTTTCTAACTATAAATTAGGCCAGCTTTAGACTCCCATTAAGGAGCACTAACTGGCTGCTGTTAGCTCGCTAGCCAACTTAATTATCTCTGATGTTGCACGTCAAAGGGGGGAGGGTCGGGGACTGAACCTGCTCTGTGTTGCAGTGTGCTGCTTTTAACTTTTATCTCAGACAGCCAGGGCATAAAAAAAAACTAAATCTGATTAAATCTCCTCCTGTGAATTGATTTGGCCCCCCTAAAAAAAAAAACCGTATGTGAAATATTATGAGGTTAGTTGCTGTGGGATTCAATAAAGCTCACTGTCTCCTGAGAGCTGCAGCCAGTGTAAGTTACAGTCAGATGCCACTTTATTAGGCACATCCACACAGATATAACCGGACAGGTCATGGGAAGAAATACTAGTCCAGTCTGATGCATTAATCCTTTTAATGTTTTATGATGTTTTCTTTTGTTGAGACTGCTTTATGGCATTTTTACAGGCTGCTGAAATGTTGTATTTATATATTATATTACAAATTTTGGGGGCATCTGTATCAAATGTTTTCTTACATCTGGAGAGCAACATTTATAGGCCTTTTGCAGCACTGCAGTACGTAATTATAATGCTGTTTTGTCACACATTTGACCTAATTTAATAAAAAAAACAATCAAATCAAACTATTGCGATTAATTGTGCAACCTTAATTTATAATAAATACTTATATATATATATATATATATATGCGTTGATGCTGGAAGCAGTGGTGTATCCTGGTATTTATGGCAAGACATTTGTGTAAGATGTTAACAGCTATTAAATAGGCCGTAAATGTTCCTGGTCATTCAAATTAATGCAAAAACCATGAGTGTCATGCAGTATCACACCTCTCAATATAACGTAATACAGTTGTACAGCACCACAAGTTACAGCCTCCAAAATCACCATCAGGTTGAATCAACACATCTCCTGAACAGTTTCAGGAAAAACTGAATATATAGCCTTCATGACCGCAGTATTTATTGCGTTAACTAATAAAGTGGCATCTGACTCTGTAGTGAAACCTACGAATAAAACAGCCCTCCCAACTTCTAATAATCTCTCTTACTCTGAAATAGAAGTTATCTTCAAATGAAACCTTTTTCCCCTGGTGGTGTTTGGACCAGATTCATGAACCAGTAGGCTTTAGTGTGGGGCTGTTGTTACTGTGTTACTTTTAGCTCAGTGTACCTGAATCAACTGGGATCTGGGTGTTTAATGAAACCTGTGAAATGTATAGTTAACTTCCAATAGTTTTGTCTTAACCTCGAACCTATTCTTCTTAAGTTTAGGCCAGCATCTACACCAATTTAAGTCTTTTAAATCTAAGTTATATAAAACAGTCCCGCTATAAATCCTCCCTTCATTAAGGTTATAATGTTCAGTTTTGTTGAAACTATTTTAGAGAGGTGTTGATTAAACTTTCTGAACTTTCTGTTGAACTGTATTGAATTATAATGAGTATAAATATACTCGGTATATTGGTTCAAGCTAACCACAGCCTACAAAATTATCATAAAGGTGAACACCTCTCTAAAATAAAGACTGAACATTACACACTTAATATTTACCGCATTAGTTTTAGCGAGATGTACCGGATAAACGGGTAACCGATTGTGCTATAAATAAAATAATCGTCCTCCTACTTCTAATAGTCCTGACTTCAACTAGAAGAAAGTAGACTTTAAATTAAACTATTCTTCGCCTGTTTTGACCTCATCTAAACTATTTCAAATAACCTTGGAGTCGCAGCTGCCATGTGAATAAAATCTTTAAAGTTTGAAAGTCACTGCTTTACTTTGATAATGAGCTTCTCTCGTTGTTTAATAACTTTTTTTTAAATTGTAATTAATAAAGGGTGCCACCACTCTCGAAGTTAAACTCTGTCCTTGTTAGTGAAACACCAGGATAAACCCACGTTTAATACGTCAATAGTACGTAAGTTGGTGATGCAGTGCAGTAGAGGCATGTGAATCCCTGAGTGGCGCAAATGTTTGACAGAGGTGTGGGCCTGGATCTGATGTAAGAGAATTACAAATAACATTTTATAGTCTTAACTTTAATCAGGCGTGTATTCTCTTCCTGCTGCTCTTAAATTGCACTGCATGTTTGTCAAGCACACAGAGTGATTGTTATACTGTCCAAGCTGACATTGTCCCTTTTTTTTCTATCTTTTTTTTTGTTCACAGTCAAAGCTACAATGCCAATATGGGTTGTGCTGTTATCAAGAATTATCATGAGGGAGAAGCAAACCACAAAGGTGAGTAGGTTTGACACAGCAAACAAGGCACAAGGCCCGCTCTGTTTCAGCCTGTTTCTCAGTGTTTGAGACTCAGCAGTGGTGATGTGGCACTGTACTGCGCTTGTACTGCGTCTCGTATTTCGGGCCATCTGCGGGGGCTTTTGTCCCTAAAGTTGATCAGATTTTCTGTGGGAGGGTGGAGGTCAGGGAGGGAAACTTTCTTTCTACCAGCAGGCCACATTCACCTGTTAAAGCCCCAAAATACATTCACTACCTTTTCATATTATAGGAGCCGACTTTATGTATGTCATTTGAAGGCTGTTGTATTTTGGTATGCAGGGTACAGGTGGTGGGAAGGTTTCAGACAGGTGGTTGAATATTTCAAGTCCAGTGGGGGCAGAGTTATTTGAGAACTAGAGGAAGTATCGTCTCCCATTTTCTGGCTCAGAGGTGATCTTGGAGGACGGATCACCGGCTATGTGCACAAACTCTTTGTTTGATACTACGAGCACAGGGAAGCACTGCAAAGGATTTTTAACAAGATGGACAGGTTGATCAACTTGTGGATGTAGTTAAGTATATCCTGGAAGGTGTCTCACTGCAAATGTTACGTCAGCTCAAGACACGCAGAAAACAAAACCTTTAATAAGTCATTCTGTTAGTTCTTAATCACAATTTGGACAACATAAGTTTGTCAAATGTTAACATGACGATAACACACAGACACAAATCGCCACACACATTTACAGATCTGCCGCAGCAGAAGTGTAGCAAAAGTCATGTGTAAAAAGAGCCATTTGAGAGGCCTGCCTGGGTTGTAACTGGTGCAAATACTTAGACTTTTCAGCCTGTAATATGTACACATTTACAGATTTGTTTACACACTCATAGATCTGTGTACGTATTTACAGATTTGTCTACACATTCACAGATCTTTGTATGTATTTACAGGTTTGTTTACACATTCACAGATCTTTGTACGTATTTACAGGTTTGTTTACACATTCACAGATCTTTGTACGTATTTACAGATTTGTTTACACACTCACAGATCTTTGTACGTATTTACAGGTTTGTTTACACATTCACAGATCTTTGTACGTATTTACAGATTTGTTTACACACTCACAGATCTTTGTACGTATTTACAGATTTGTTTACACACTCATAGATCTTTGTACGCATTTACAGATTTGTTTACACACTCATAGATCTGTGTACGTATTTACAGGTTTGTTTACACATTCACAGATCTTTGTACGTATTTACAGATTTGTTTACACATTCACAGATCTTTGTACGTATTTACAGATTTGTTTACACATTCACAGATCTTTGTACGTATTTACAGATTTGTTTACATATTCACAGATCTTTGTATGTATTTACAGTTTGTTTACACATTCACAGCTCTTTGTAAGTATTTACAGATTTGTTTACACATTCACAGCTCTTTGTAAGTATTTACAGATTTGTTTACACATTCACAGATCTTTGTATGTATTTACAGGTTTGTTTACACACTAAAAATGTCAATACAGATTTAGAGATTTCCACATTTCTTAAAAAATCATACAAATCTGATAACCCGCACACATACAGTTAAACAACTCTATGCTCACTTTTTGTCACGTTTTGTCAGGTATGTTTCATTGAGGAAGGATTAGAAATGTAGGACATGAGAATACAGTGTACATTTACATAACATAACTTAACTAAACAAAATATATTTTTAACAACGGTTGTCACGTTTTGCTACAGTAATGGTCCCTGGGGATGGGAATGAAGAACCGGTTCCAAATTATCTGATCATTCAGACTCGTATACCTCCAAGCTGACAGTTGCATATTGCAAAACAATGATGTCAAACTCATGTGTCTATGCTGCTGGAAACTTGCAGTGTGAAGGAGTTAATGTGGAGGGGAATAAAGGAATATTTACCGTTTCTACACTGTGTTCAGACGCAGAGATAATAATATGGTTGTACTGATGCTGAAAACCTTTGTAGACCGACTTTTTTTCACACAGAAAACTGATCAGGAATCAACAAAGTATTAGACGGTTAAGCAGAATCAATAATGGCACTGGTGTCAATAAAATCTTATCAATTCCCACCTCTAGTGATCCCATACCTCTGATTGTTTTGGTCCCAGCGTTCACTGGTAGCTGAACTAAAATACTAAATTAATTACACTCGACACTAAGAGTGATACATAGATATTTTCCAAAACAGCATAGAGCTCTGTAAAAATACTGTATTATAGGCCACAGTTAAAGGGAAACCATGATGTAGATCCCTGACTGTAATCAGGTTTACTTTATAATGTAGTTCTGTCTTAGTAGTGTGCACTGTGCAGCTGTATGGAGTTAAAAATATCAATGAAAGAAACCTCCATCATCTCTGGAATTCATTCTAATTTTCCATCCTGATGGGGAAACATTTCACAGTCTAGGTTTACTGAATGTGAATAAGGAGACCTCTTAGTCTAACATCAGCTTGTCATGTTTACCTTACGGTCGACAGTTCAGTATTCAGACAGGCTGCGTTCACAGACAGGGAACGTAAGTGTTGATGACGTGTTAGTGTGTGTGTGTGTGTGTGTGTGTGTGTGTGTGTGTGTGTGTGTGTGTGTGTGTGTGTGTGCGCCTAGAGTTCCTGTTTGAGGAGCAGCAGGCCTCACTGTACTCTACTGAGAAAGCTTAAGTTGTATGAAACGCATTAAAACAACTGATTGACTGAATAGGTACTCAGTTTAGTTAAAACATGACCAGTTACAGTTTATAAACTGTACAAAATATACTCTGGATGCTTGAGTAGGTACACTTGTGCAATGTAATGTAAATAAAACACCCTTACCTTAACATCCACCTTTACGAAGTTCATAATGTAAGAAATGAATACATTAAATGTCCTGTTTATTATTGAGGTCACAGTTAAATGATGTCCTTGAATACATTATACTGAGAGGTGTTCCTAACTTTTTGTCCTTCCTATTTATACACATGAGGGAGGCAGAGTATTAGAAACACCTCAGTATAATACAGTCTAATACAACACCACTGCTAACTATGACCTCAATGCTAAAACACTTCATTTAATTAACACCTCTGTCAGTGTAAATAAAACTGAACATTGTAGGCATCATAAAAGTAGACTTTATAGCCTTATTGTTGTATTGGATTGCATTAGACAAGTACATAGTGTGGAAAGCCTTCAGGATGAACTTTCAAAATAAGTCGGGGGCAGCTGAAATGGGACAGAAATCTAGGCCTCTGCCAAAATAGAAGAAGACACTTTTAATTTTTACATAAAAGAAACGGACTCTTCACAACACGGCCCTCGTGTCAAAAGTACAAGTATATCGGTTGGTACTCATTTGGATATCGGCATGTTCAGTGTGTTGGCAGGAGATAATGTGGTTAACTTTTAATCCTGCTCGTGTTGAACAGGTTGTTGCACAGAGCTGCTCACACACACACACCTGCGTTAGGGAGTAGTTTCTCACAAAGTCCTCAGCCTGTTTTATGTGTTTCTTTTACACCCATCTCTATCTGCTGCCCTTTTTATTACTACTGAGGTCCTCGTTGTTGTACCATTGCTCATGTTTCTGTAATTTTTGCATGTAAGAGACACCTTACTTACTTGGACAATAAAACAGTTTGATGGCAATAAACTAACAAAATCAGCCAACAGGTACTCTTGTGCTCTTTCACTCTGAGTGGTTGGTTGAAGGGAGGAGTGGGTGGGTGAGTGAGTGAGTGGGTGCACAAGTGGGTTTCATAACAACTGCAGGCCTCTCATAATTTCTCATGATCTTAAATTTTCAACATGCAAATAAATCTTGCTGTAGATGTTGTGATAGTTTCAGCCCATGAGGGGTTTGTCCCCAGTGGTGTGGTCAAAGATAGAAGGGTTAGTGTGTCCAGCTGCAGCCCCTGAAGTTGTGCTAGCAGGTGTTGTTTCATCATCTTAACATGTGTTTGGATAGATTAGTGGCGTTCCTGCTTTACTGTGTGTAGTTTTGCAAAGTAAACTGAGCAAGTTTTGTGAAAAACTTTTTCTTCTTGGGGCTCCACTTTTCTTAAAATGTGGCAGTGCTTTGGATTTTAGGTTTAGAGGAATGTTGGAAAGGTGACTTTATGTTTTCTAGGGCTGCACAATTGGTTTACATACTATCAAAATTGCATTAATTTTTAAAGGTAAAATGTGACAAAACTGCATTAGGATTAAGTACTTCAGTGCTGCAGAGATGACCTGGCCTACAAATATTGTTCTCTAGATAAAAGAAATCATGTTTGTTTAGTACAGACCCCAACAAATGTCACATCATCATGATTTCAATAGTTTTTCTTTCAATTAAAAGGAGAATTGTGAGACATAAATGATCCTTCCCACTATGGTTGTGGACTGTGTTCAAAACAAGACCTTTGAAACATCACCATGGGCTTTGAGAAACTGTGATCAACATTTTTATGGACAGCAATTAATTGGTTAATCGATTAGTCAAGAAGACAATAAACAGATTAATCGATAATGAAAAGAAGCGTTAGTTGCAGCTCGGTTTAAACTGATCGATTAGTTTATTTTTTCTTGTTTCTGAAAGGTCGAGCTGGCCTCTTTATATTCCTCTGATTGATTTGTAAACATTCCTGAAGCAGCTCACTGGATCTAAACTTGTGTTGTCTCCTGCTGACTCTGCCTCCTGTGTCTGTTGTAGGTGTACGTATCACTCATCCCCATCATTGGCGGAGTGCTGCTGGCCACAGCGACTGAGCTGTCCTTTGATGTCTCGGGACTAATCAGCGCTCTGGCTGCCACGCTCTGCTTCTCTCTGCAGAACATCTTCTCCAAAAAGGTAACTCGTACTCACGCTAGTCTGTGCCAACTGATCCCCAGGAGGGGGTGCTATGAGGGGGGCTGACTAGAAAATGTTACTTCTTGGTGGTTTGGTGTGAAGAGCCTCAAACAGACGTCCTGGTTTGTGGTTTGTTTTTATAAAGAAATGCAGTCAGACAAGAGAAGTGGTTCTGTGTTGAATAAATCAGAAAGGGACAACTGGATTTTACAAGTGGCCACTTACTTTAATAACAAAAGTGGGCTTCAGTAAAATGACCAAATATTCTGGAAATAATCTGTTATCCTGGAAAATTTTAATGGTATTTTAACCCCTCACTCTGAACGCCTATGTGAATCTGGGTGTGCGTTTTGTTTGAAACTCAACTGTTTGTATGATAAGTTGCGATGTATGACCAAAAGATGTGAAACAGAACAAAGAGTTTCAGTTCCCATATCAATCAAGAGCTGTTCACGCCATACGAGGAGCGAAACTGACTTGGAGCTAACTTTTAAACATTTATTTACGGGCTGTAGCCAAATTAATGTTACAGTTTGAGAAAAACTTAACCAAGTCAGTTAAAGTCCAATTTTAGATATATTTAAACATTTCAAAAGTTTTACTGCAGTATATAGTATTACAAGCTAATAATATAGCTTTAATATAATGCTAATCTAATAATGCATAAGGGAGGGCTGAAGAGAGAATATAGCCTCTTAAGTAGTCACTGCTACCGTCTCTCACCACAAGATGGTTACTGCATTTCACCAACCCTTGCACAAACATGTTCAAACATGTTCTCTGGATAACATCAAAGTCAAAATAATGAAAAAATGGAGCAAAACATTTCATTATTTCCATCTCAGACTTTTTTTTTAATACAAATTATACCCACAATTATATTATTATAGAAGAGAGATATATTTTCTGGGTCTCTCTTGTAATTTGTTCCAAAACCAGCTTTTAGTGGTCATTACGACTCTACAACAAAGTGATCACAAAACCAGCACGTTGGTTTTTAACACATTTAATCAAAGTTGGATTAAAAAAGGATAAAAGTGCTCCAGTTTAAAAAAAGTCAAAGTCAGCTTTAATATCAATTCTTCACATCGAGAGGACGTTTCTCATTCACCCGCAGTGAAACAGATAAAGTGCACAGGCACAACAGATAAGACATTTCCTAATACTAAAATTTAAACATTCAATTTCACAACAGACAATAAAATATAAAATATACAATAATATAAAATATACAATACAATACTTATGGTAGTGCAAAAGGGCAGATGGTAATAGCAGCAAAAGAACAGTCAGTAAAAAAGCAGTATAAACAGTATTAACAGTATAGTATAGTAAGATCCCATTATAAACTTATTTATAATAATCATAATAATTTTTGTGAGCAGAGCCGAGTTCTGTGATATCATTTAAAACTTTGTGAAGTGGACAACAGAAAGTATCTAAACAGGGAAAGACCCCAAACTCTACATCACTCTCTCCTTGGCTAACACAGTTGTGACTCTTTTATTCCCTGTTTAAAGGTGTTGCGAGACACAAGGATCCATCACTTGAGGCTACTCAACATCCTGGGCTTTAATGCTGTCATCTTCATGCTGCCCACCTGGGTCCTGGTGGATCTCTCTGTGTTTCTTGTTAATGGAGACCTGGTGAGTAGCAGCAACCGTTAACACACGCAACACGCGGTGCAAATGTCAAGAGTTCAGCAGCATCCGGTTTATTTTGTGACCCTGAACGTAACCTGACCGTTCCTGCTTCCCTTACAGTCTGAAGTCTCAGAATGGTCCGGTACCTTCGTCCTCCTGCTCATCAGCGGATTCTGCAACTTCGCTCAGAACGTCATCGCCTTTAGCGTACTTAACCTCGTTAGCCCGCTCAGCTACGCCGTCGCCAACGCCACCAAGAGGATCATGGTCATTAGCATCTCACTGCTAATGCTGCGCAACCCGGTCACCCTCACAAACGTCCTGGGTATGATGACGGCCATCGTCGGTGTCTTCCTCTACAACAAGGTGAGTCACCCCGACCTCTGTGTGGGAGGAAGAGGAGGAGGAACAAAGAGCCTGAATTTGAGTCACAGGGAAAAAGATTAATCTTCTGTTGTTCCTTTTTAATTGAAAACTCTTAATCAGCACGTTCTCTACACCTGATGTACATGTGGCGAGCTAGAATCAGCAAATAATATCGGTCTAATTTATGGATTCCTGAGTCATCCTTCAGTTTACAGCCTTATTTTGTGATAATAAATTGTTAATTGTCATTTTTAAAAAAAGCAGTTTTGTATAATAATAATAATTTTCCACCACTGCGCTGTCTATGTTCTCTATATACACTCTGTATATTCTCTGTCAGTTCCCATTGCTCCGTTTCCAGTTGTTCTTTCCTAATATGTAAACTGCTTGGCACTAAAA